TAAAAGCTTCAAGAATAACCTGCTTGACTTAAGCTCCTTGCAAGCTTCCTAGTAAAGTACTTTGTGTTAATCACGGTAGCTTGTAGTGCAAGTAATTAACAAATGAATGTAACCAAACACTGTTATACCTCAAGCATTGAGAAGGAGTTTCTGAGATGAACTACTTCATCTTCAAAAGTTTCTCTATAAAGCATCGCTTCAGCTCTCTGAAACGCAAACGGAACTCCTACAAGAGCTCTGAGAAACTTCTCAGCTGAGCCAAGCTCATCCACGGCTCCTTTGTAGCTACACAGCTTCAACTCTTCTTCTTTAGTCGGCACCATCTTCACCAACGCTTCTAGTTGCTGTAAACACAAGCCTTCCCCTACAGATAAACATTTTAAAATCAGATCAGATACGCAATGGATTGATTTTAGTTTATCTTAGTTTACCTTTCCCCAAGGCAGAGCAGATTTGGTCCGCGGTTGCGTTGAGAGCTTTCAAGAGAATGGTAAAGTTCTGAAGTCTCTTAGGTTCAAGAAGGTGTTTCCCTGGTGATGGAGTTTTGCTCTTCCCTTCCTCATTCTTCGTTGAGCTTTGCATCGTATATCCAAACAGTGACTCAATCATCTCTTCGTCTAATCTGAATAACCACAAGACAACACATAATCACATATTCATGAATAACATTTTGCTGCTTGTGGCTATAGAGTATAGGCTAAAGAAAGTTAAAAACTTACTCGAAAGAGCTTGTTCTGAGCTTATCCCAAACCATAGTCCGGTCTGGTGTAGCCCTGACTTTATCCCAGTGAAGAGGCTTCAGTTTAGGCAAAGGAGCTCCGTCTTTGCCTAATGGTCTACGCTCAGAAAAATCAAGAGACAATGGCGGTGGAGGCGTTTTGTTCATTCCAGCTACTTGAAGTTGTTGTGGCGGTAGCGGCGGTGGTGGCGGTGGATGCGGTAGAGATTTAGAACCATTTTCTTGAGAATTTAGTACATTGATCGGAAAGCTTGTCTTCGAGGAAGAAGCACAAAGTTTTTCACATAATTGCGACGAAAGCGTTTGAAGATTAGCGGTTTCTGGCGAAGACAGAGTGTGAAGACGTTTGTTTGAGAATTGCGGAAGCGGTGGAGGCGGTGGAGGTGGCGGCGGTGGTGGAGCAGAGACAGAGACTCCGAAGTCGTTTCTGGAACATTCAGGAATATCCAATTTGTGTTCTGAGAAGCGTTGAGAAGATCCTACGTTTACACTACCAGAAGCAGAAGAAGCATTTGACAATCTTGGATTTGAATACTGAGAGCCACCACCAACGGAATGAAAAGACTCATCATCGTCTGAAGAATCATTGCATCCATTGATTACAACAGGAGGAACAGAAACAGAGTTTACTGTTTGTTCATCATCATTTTCGTGCACCGACACAATCTCTTTAGTTGAATAACTACTAGCATTGTCCCAATCTTGCGAAATCTCTGTTTCTATACTTCTCTTTACCTCTTCTTCAAGTAATCCACTATTGTTATCGTTCAAATCCTTCTCGGTTTCTCGTATTTCTTTAACAGAAACAGAGTTTTGTCTCTCCAAATCAACTCCCAGTGAGTTTAGGTACAAGAAATCGAGAGTAGGATTTACACTAACCTTCCTCGTCGAGTTTTGAGGTTTGCCCTTTTTCCTTTTAAACGACAGCGTTTTACCGTTCTTCTTCCGTTTTCTTCTCGCGCAGAGACAGAACACTCCAACGACACAAACCACGAAACCGATTCCAGAAGCTGTAGAAGCAACGACAGGTACAAGAATCTTCTTAAGTGTTCCTCCTTTCTCGTGTTTTCCCCTTTGAATCTCGGGTTCTTTCAATGGATGGGTCCGTTGAGCTAACGGACGACGGAGATGTGGAGGAATCGGCCGTGGAGGAGCTGGAGGATATGCCGGAGACTCGATTGGACCACCGCTGGGAAACGGAGACGGAGACGGCGCCGGCCAAGGAGAGAAAGAAGCAGCCTTGGCGAGATTTCTTCTCCGGGAAGTAGAAGGTTTTATCAAATCGAGTAAAGCTCGAAACTTTTCCAAAACTCGAAGCTTTATCTTCTCGCCTCCGTCTTCTCCGGCGTATTTTCCGACTTGGGTTCGGTATCTCTCACCGTTTACCACCGTGAACACCTTCCAATCATCAAGCTCTTTAGCATCAGCAACAATGCAAAAGAATCGACCTTTGCAGCAGTGTAACGAAACTACAATGATCATGAGAAAAATCTGACGAAAATAAACCATCTTTTTGTTATTTTTTCAGATCTTTTCTCTGTAAAAACAAATCATAAACTCTATAAATCCACTACAAAGAAACCATTTATGAGAAAAGACTCAATTTTTCTTTAATGTATTTTATTTTTATTTTTCTCTCCTTTGAGACTTTAATGCTACTCCAAGGAACCCCTGAACTCTGCAACTATAGTTGTACTGGTAATGGTAACACCCTCTTTCTCCATTAATTCTCCTAGCAGAACAACAGTGCTAATTTTGCAATTTATACACACCATTTTAGGTAATCTCTTAAAAAAATCATTAATTAAAATTAAAGATTGAATAAAGGAACAAATGTCAATTTTAAAATCATTAAATCTTGCAGAGTATTAATAATACAGATTTTTCTTGGAATTAATGCAGTGACAACAATCAGAAGCTTTTTAGTTTGAAAACAGCTTTTTCTTTTGTTTAAGGAAGAGATTAAAAAGGAGAAAATCTAATAATAAGAGAAGATAGAAAGAAGCGTGAAGGTGTTGGTGTGAAGTGGGTCCTCTTATTGTTGGCACATTTGGCTTCTTCGGCCATTTGGTAATTTACTGTACAAGTTTTCTTTGTTCCTCTCAACCCACCATTGTTTTATGAGGCAAATTACAGTAAAATACGAATATTTGTATTTATTGTATAGAATTTATTCTTGTGTTTTGATATGAATGTGTATACACGTACCTAACAACATACGTATGAATGATTCCCATTCATATGTTTTTTTCCATGAGTATGTTTTTAAGGATATATGAATGTTCGGAGAAAAAAAAACTTTTTGGAAATATATTGTCTTAATAGTTTTGTAACAAACCATGCAACATCGCCTTATAGATAAATTAATTTAACTGATGAAATATTTCGTAAAATAGTAGTGGTATAAATATGTTACAAATTCAAAGGAAAACAGAAATTTATGTATTAAACAAAATATATTATTTTGTCTCTTGCATATATATATCCTTCTCAGCCCTATAATATGAAAGATTATAAAGTTTTACTCAAAATTATTGTCATATGGGGGACATTTTGCTATATAAACGATAAGAGAAGATAAAAACAATACACGATTCCCCCATAATTAGTAATCTAATATATATTCTTACGATTAGAAGTTTCCAAAATTCTGATGAATATTACAACAAAAAAAATTAAAAATTATATGGACTTTAAAATGATTTTGGTAAATGAGACCAATAGGTGGGTAGTGACTAATATTGAAATTAATATTTTAGGCAAACTTCTCCATCTTTCTAGTCACATTCTAAAGCTTCCCAAAGTGAGATGGTTAGTTGTTCATAGTTTCACAAAATAGGTCGCAAAGAATATTGTTTGGTAGGATATGATGTTGATTTCGTTGAGAAGTTTATACCATGTTTTATTATTTTGATATGATGAATGACTTTTTAGAAAGCTAGTGTTTGGCCTTTGATTGTGCTTGTAAGAATAGTTTATCAATATTGATCATACTAAGATCATATACAATGTGTTTACAATATTGAAATGAGGAGAGACATATGATTGGAAAGAGTGTAAGTACTTTAATTTCATCGTTTTTTATATGTTATCAAAGAAGAGGTTTGTGTTTCAGTCCTATCTCTTACTTCAATAATAGAAAAAGATGGGAAATTTCCTTAGATCTAAGGATTTACTTTACCATTTAGATTGAGTAAAATGAATATCACTAAATTTCTACACAATATTTGTTCTCTATTGTTTTCACTCTTACTATTTGGTTCATTTAACATCTCAAGTGTCAGCAACTTTGACATACGTGGGCCAAAGTTGTATGGACTTGTCTTAAACGTATTATATTATGAGTTATTATTATATTGGAACAGTCTACATACTTTGTTTACTCTATTCTTTAATGTATACACTATATACATGGTACCGTAGATCACGTAATGCTAACATGAGTGATTACAAAATTTTCAGTCTGGGTGTTACTTGTCAATCAAATAAATTAAAAGGAGTTTAGGAGTCAAAGATTATAAGTCAACGTATCGAGAAGACCAATAAAAAAGTAGGAAACCATAATTTAGGGATGATATTTACTAAAGTATCTAACTTTTTTTTTTTTCATCAACTTTTTCATATTTAAAAACCGATTGCAGAAAGTTACAACTTTTGTCTGCATTTCTCAGAGATGTTCAAAAGAGTTTTATCAGTTGATGTTCTGTCTACATTTAGCATAAAAAAAAAAGGGAATCCATATTTACAGAGAGTTGTTTGTACCTACTTTGTCTTGAGAATAAAGTAAGTAAATAGTTTGGAGAAACAAACAAAAATTTTAAAACAAATATACTAGCCCATAAATTGTCAGATATATCACATGCTGCTAGTTTAGAGAAAATCGGAAAATTGTAGATTCCATTTGCAAGAGAAAAAAAAAAAAAAAAGAAGACAAATATATATTTGTTTTTTTTTTAAAACTGAAAAATGAAAACAAATAATTGGCGATTTTTAGATTTGTGGTTCGGTAAAGGAAAACAGTACAATTGCGAGATTTGTCTCTGTCACGCAACAGAAACATTTTCGCAATAGTAAATGCCAATTAAAGGATACCACCGACCTAGTCAATGACGTCACCATCTGAGACATAGGCCCAAATTAAATCCTGCTGTTAAAAGCCCATTAATCGTTATCAACATAGGCCCATTTTAAGAAACTATCATGACTTCTTTTTAGTATATTTCGCGCTTTAAGCTGATTTCAGGAATTTCATGGCAAATCCCGCCAATCGCCACTAAAATCATTGACCAAATATTTTTATTTCTAAGGTTTAAATCAAAATTTGAATTTATTTTTCTAGAGAGAGAGAGAGAGAGATGGAGTTCAGTATCAGTGGCAATGGGCTCAAGACCTTGGCTAGGTCTATAATCTGCCTCGCACGCGTCGGCAACGAGCTCGTCGTCCAAGCTTCGCCGACACAGGTTCTCTCTTATTCGTTTTACTTGGCTTATTGATTGCTGCGTAACCCTAATTTTAAGGATTGGCAAGTAATTCGTGAGAAACTCGCAATTTGATTTACTATAAGTTGATTTCGTCAATACAAACTGACGATTAGGGTTTTTTAGTCGATGATTACTTTATCGCCGTTAGTTTACCCAAAATCATGTGTCTACGAACCCAAAAGTTGGTTCATCGATTTTCTGCGTAATTGCTTTAAGAGGCTTTGGGAAGAACGCTGTGTTGATTGTATCTGTACCTATATTTTTAGCTCAACAATTCGTCACATTACTCTGATTTTACTGTCTACAATGCCCTATTTCTATTAAGTTTAACCAGATTTGAATTATGTACTTGATGCTAGTATATCTACAGATTTGTGAAGTACTTTCTGCGCCTTGTTAGATCTAATTTATTTTGTTTTGTCAAAACCTTTGCAGCTGGCATTGCACACTTTAAATGCTTCACGTTCTGCCTATCAGTGTATTACATTTCAGCCAAGTTTCTTTGATGTATATACTGTTTCTGGTCCTCAAGCTCATTTCAGTTTACTTTTGAAGGTATTTTTACTGTTATCCTGATATTTTTAGCCATGAATTCATTGGTGTAAGTAGCTGTTGCTGATTTTACTTTCTTCCCAGGCTGTTTGTTCTGTTCTTAGAACCCCTCTCGCCAGCATTGATCACATGAGTGTGCAGTTGCCAGATCATGATGCATCTAAGGTCAAATGGACTTTGCAGTGTTACAGTGGTAAAGCTATATCCCTTGTTCTTACTTCTTACGCATTGTTTGCTCTTGTCTGCAACCATCACATTCTCTAGTAACTTTGTGTGTAAAACCTGGATGTTGCATGTTTCAGACCTGTTAATAATAGCTTAATCTAATTTGCAACTGTTTTACTGAGACCTCTACTTCTTAAATAACTTTGAGCAATTATGATGATGTTAATATGTTTGGAGCCTGGCTTGAATTTGTTTAATCATTTGTGCAGGTATGAAGAAAACATATTGGATTACTTGCAATGTGGAACCAGATATACAGCATCTGTCCCTTGATAGGGGTAGATTTCCTAGTACCTTAGTCGTGCATCCTCGAAATCTGAGCAAGTTGCTTGGAAACTTCCAGTCATCCCTCCAAGAGATTACAATAATTGCTACAGATCAAACTTCTTTCCCCTCTGATGCTGCAAGTGAAATAGGTGGAAAATCTGTTGAGTTTCGGAGCTATGTGGATCCTACCAAAGGTTAGGACACTGAAATAATGCTAAAACTGGAATATTCAGGTTCCCTCAGGAAGGCTGCTAACAATTCTCATTTCAATCTGCAGATGGCGACGCTTTGTTACATACTCAGCTATGGATTGATCCATCAGAAGAATTTTTGCAGTATACTCACGCAGGTGATCCCGTTGACATCACATTTTCCTTGAAGGAACTAAAGGTTTTAGCATTCCTCCACCTGAAGCCTTGTTTGAATTTCATCCACCTTTGTTTGTGCAAAACTAAATATCTTCAATAATTCCAGGCATTTCTGGCATTTTGCGAGGGCTGTGAAGCTGATATTCATCTTTTTTTCGAAAAAGCTGGCGAGTAAGAATCCTATGTTTTACATCCTGTGAAGTTTGCTTAATAATTGCATCTTCCTGTGTACCCTTGATATCTTTTAGATTCAATTGCAAGTTCATTCTGGCCAATACTTCTAAACTATGGTGAGCTTGTCAATTGCAAGTTCATTCTGGCCAATACTTCTAAACTATAAAGGTTGTACATGCTTGTCAATTCTACTAGCTAGATCACTCATTTAAACACCATATTCTTTGGCCGGGACAACTAGTTGTGTAGTCACTATCTTATCTGTTACTGAATGTCATAATATGTACTTCGTTGCTAGACCAATACTGATGGCTCCAAAATTCGGTTTGGGTGATGGGTCAAGCTCCAGTTTTGATGCAACACTCGTTCTTGCGACAATGCTTGTGTCTCAACTTCAGGAAGGGATTCCGGCAGAACCTCCTGAAGCAGCAAACTCCACAGGTGGCCATGCTGCCGAGCAAGTAGGATCACAGCCTCAAGAACGGTCTAGGCAAAATGCCTCTGTGCACCCATCTGATCACACACGAGTTTGGTCTGAACTTTCAGGTAGTAACTAATCTAATGGTTATCATTTGTATTCACAATATTTCCTGTTAACTAAAACCTGAGGAAATCAATGCTGGGTAGCAGGAACTGCCACTAAGAGCGTGAACGGTACTGAGGATAGGCCACAGGCTCAGGGACAACCAGACTTGGATATCCAAAGAATTAGGAATATGGAAATATCAAAAGGCGGGCCAGCTGGAGATACTGCTCCTGCAGCTCCTAACTCGTATCCTTCACTCTCACAATCACTATCACTACTATACACTTCTTGGCCTGTTTAGCTGTTAAGCATTAAATCATAGTCCATAATCGATTAGAAATTCCTGCTTGTGTAGTTGCAGTTTGCTTTTAAGATGCATTTCCTAGCCTGTTTAACTACTAATCATTTCAGCATGCTCCATAACCCGAAATCACATATCTCCAGTGACTGTACTTATTTCTATATATGCTATGTTATCTTTGACTCTATGTCAGCCAACGTCCCACACAGATAGATCATGCTGAAGGATCCCGAGGTACCTGAAAAATCATTTCTACAGCCTTGTCTTGTCTTGTTACTTATCCTAAAAAGTAGTCACTTCTCTGTTACTTTTCCTCAGTACGGGTACAGAACCAAAGTTTCTCCCAGCACCATCCTAGTAATTGGGTAGATGCAAATGAGGAAGAAGACGACGACGAAGAAGGTGTCGAGGCGACGCCACCTCACAATGAAGATTATTAACTCAAGTCCCTTTCCCTTGAAGTTTTTTTTCATCTCATTCAAGTTCTCTACCCTTCTCTGGCAATCGTTCAAGATTTTCTAATCTAATGAATTACAAGAGAAGTTGATCAAAACAGCTTTGTGTCTCCTTGTGTGGTAATACAAAGAGCTATACACCCTCTTCTTGGTTAGCTTGCAAAAAAAGAAATGTTAGTGTATGATACCACTAATGGTACCACCGAATGCTATTCAAATAGGATTTAGCTTTTGTTTTTCTTTCATTATCCTCTGTTCTCATTGGAAGCAAACTTTTACTAAACCACTACTAAATGCGTTAAGCCGTTAAGAACAAGAAACAAGGGTCACTCTTAAGTTCTTAATTATTGTTATTCAAGCACCGGAGCTGTTCTCTTATTCACCCTCATTGTAGATTCTTTTTTTTCCCAGGGAAAATGATCCGGAGAAGATTGTGAAAAATGGGACAGAACATACAAGTAAAGTAAGGCATTTAGGTGGTGATTTATTCCTCACCATATACATATAAAATTCTGTTTTACGGTAAAATGCCTCTCTGCTATGTAGAATAGAAGAAAAAGGTGAGAGTATATGCATATATGTGTAGTGTTAGGTGCTTCATCCACTACAATCAAAGTTTGATCCTTTCTTGGCAAAACTTCTGAATGGCGTGCTGTGTTGTTCAGTCATCTTTGTTTGTTAGGCATTTGCTTTTTCTTTCTAACTTAACATAAAAATAGAATGCCAACACACCTTGAGCTTGAATATCTGCATTTCCACTATATTCTTATTATACCCACCTCTTTGCTTTTCCTCCAAACACAACTAAAAACTGTCAAATTTCAAACGCATTCTCATATCTTTTACTTAGACTGATTGTTTCAAACGCTAACCTTTGTTTAAAGCAAAACACAAACTATAAGAGAAGGTTTTTCATGAACCCTTTATAAAAGCAAATGAGACAGAATAAAATGAGTCATAAATTTTAAATGTTCTTCAAAGGTACCAACCACTTTGTCGCTCTTTATACGATTAAATAACTAAAAGATGGAGAACAAGTCCAAAGAAAGGGACAATTTTAAAATTATGTTTTTATATCTTATAGAAATATCAACTTTGTTAATTGGCTATAATCTTCGTTTTTAACTTAAAGAGATCTCTTTCTCTCTTTAAAAAAAGGTCTGTCTACTTGCTAAAAGTCGTAGAAAGAGGTTCTCCATAACTTGGAAATTGGAAACTTTGTGTTTTTTTTTTTTTTTTTTTGATATCTTCATTATTGGTATCTTATTCGTGATAGCCTCATAAGAAGAGTAAAGAGATTTGCCTTTGCATAACACTTTCGTGTTGTGTAATCTCATCTTCTTCGCATTCTTAATCTTTTTCGGTTCCATCAATTATTCCGAATGATAAGTTTCAATCTCGTGCTATGTTTCTTCAAAACAAAAAATAGAAACATTTGTCGTCGTCTTTACTAATCATTATAAACACTAACTATCATATGATTGTTAGTAATCTATCAAATACTAGAAAATACAATCGAATAAAGCTAATGTTGATTAAGATTACAAGAATATTGAAACAAAAACAATTAGAATTGGTTAAAAGGAGCCAGCTGGCTTTTGGGGATAAACTTGGTAACGCGCAAACGCCGTCCTTGATGATCTGTGAATTGGGCCCCACTTTTGTTCTTTACGGTTTCTTCTTCTCACGTTACGCGCCGCCTCTCTCTTTCTCTGACGCCGTCGACTTTATCCCGGAGGGAAAAAAAATGAATACTCCCTATGTTCCTAAAAGGTTGATGTTTTAGCTTTTGTTGTTTGTTCCACAAAGATTGATTTTCTAGCAATTTTATTTTATTTTTATTGACTTATAATAGTAAATTGTAAACTTCAAGATACAATGATTATAAATCATTAACTTTCTTAGGGCTTGATTGGTTCTCCCGCTAGAACCCTCCTAACGGTTGCTAGCGATCGGTTGCGGTTGTTAGCGGTTGGTACCAATCATAGAAACCGCTCCGTACCGCTTCAAACCGCTCGAAATCGCTGAATTTCAAAAGCTCCTTCCCGCAAGCATTTGCGGTTGCGGGCGGTAGCGGTTGGAAAAAAAAATCAAACGTTTACTTATAATTATTATAAAATATATTAATCTTATATATATCTTTCATCTTTGTATCACGTTCTCATCAGAAACCCTAATCAATATTCTAAAACCTTATTCTCTCAATGTCTTACACCCAAACTGATGAAAATCAAGAACCAAACGTAAGTATCATATATAATTTTATTCATTCACCACCTCATGTGTAACTCTTTGAATATTTTTCATCGCATTGTTTTTCTTTTCATTATGTATTGCTTTGCTTTTTGATTGAATATATGTTTCGATTTGTTTTCTCGAATAGAAACTCACTTGCTTTTTGATTGAATTCAACGTTATTTACAGTTTGTCCCATTACTTGATGCGATTTTTGGAGTTAAACCAGCATAAAGTACTATCTTATTACAAAAATTTTTATTTTTGAATAATTATTTAATACTTTATTTATGGTTTTAATTATTAAGCATGTTCAATTTTTCTAATATTATCATAATAATATATTGGTGTTTTTAATTCTTTTCTTTGTAATATGTTTTATTTTTTTGGTCATTTTTCTATTTAACTGCTACCGCACCCGCTAGTTTACCAGTCATAAAACTTCCGCAAACGCATCCATTTTCAAACGCTAAACCAGTCGTTCAAAACACTTGGTAACGCTTGAAACCGCAACCGCCCGCTTCCGCAAACTCCCGCAACCGCAACCGCAACCGCTGCGTTTAAACCAGTCAGGCCCTTAGACTACTATTGGTTGATAATTATTAAAAATATTTAAAATTAAAAAACAATGTTAAAATGATCAAAGAATGATTAAGTTCTTAATATGTGTGACAACTCTAAAAAATCAAACAATTAGGAACAGAGGGAGTAATAATTAAAAAAACAAACTAGCCGTTGCTTTCTTATTTAAAATTTTTTGAGTATGCGTAAGTAAACGATCCTCTGCAGACTTCTCAAGTTCATAAAATAAATATAAAAAATTGTGATGATAAATATTTCGCAATAAGAATCGATCATCTAATGGTCTATTGAATTATATCTATGCACAAACACAAACGTTATGAAACACACATGGATTATCGTTTCTAAATTATATATGTGGATAGTCAAATTAATCTATTTCATTCTATCTAAAAAAAATTGTCAACCGAGAAATAGTGCTACCCATGAATGGAGTGTATAAATTAGTTACCATGGTGATGGTGGGATAGTGGTTTACATGTCTTTACGTTGGCTTTTCACCTACTAGACCAAGTTTGCATCTTTACAAAATATATGAATGTGCACAAAATTATATAGTAGTTGACTAATGATAAGAGACAATCTATCTTTAGATCAACAATTGATTACACAAATCACATTTTCTTTCAAATATATACATGACCAAAAATCACAAACCAACAGACCAAAAATTACCCAAACCAACAGACCAAAAATTACATTTTTTCTTCTCAATTAACGCTGATCTCGGACTTGAAAGAGTAAGGACCGTGGGAAAAAACATTAACGGAAAAAGGAAAAAAACGTGCGTTGACGTTAACGGAATGTTGGATGCCGTCTAACTAGAGTTCATACCATTTGGCCGATAAAGCGAGATGGAAAATGACAAACCGGTCAACCAGTTTCTGCCTAGCTATGCCCCTCGGTTTCACCCATTAATCACGTAAATGCCATTACATAGCTTTTGGACTCGTTAGAATTTTTATTTTAAAAAAACACACACAATTAGGAAATCAATATTCTCTCCGATGACATTATTAATTTCTCGGTCGTAAAGAAATATTCAATACTCAAGACTATGCTCTTCTTAAATGTTGCAATTTGGATTTTAAAAAATGTTGCAAGGTAAACCTAATTGTGATTTAAAATTTTATTTGAATCCGTCCTAATAACTAAGAAAGTCGTGGATGCACGAAAACATATCCAAAACTTCAAATAAACCCAACGAATATTTCAAAGCTTAGACATTGTAATTTCATGATTAAAATAAAGACCTTTCACAAAAAAAAAAATGATTAAAATAAAGAGCAACGAATATGCGTTCAAGTCAATTTCATAATCAATAAGACAATGGCATTTTCGTTAATAAATCTAAAAACAAGTCCGTTCTAATAAAATCCTCAGGTTATAAGAAGCTACACACCAACGCTTAACCTGTTGTCTTCAGCTGTGTACAGAATCAACTTCTAGAGAGAAACAGTAACAAGAAATTGAGAAGACTCTGATTCACCGAGAAGGTTTCGCCTTAAAGATGAACACTCGCGCGATCTACGCCGTCATCGCGATCCTGGCGATCGTAATCTCAGCCGTCGAATCAACGGGCGACTTCGGAGATTCGCTAGATTTCGTGAGGACCGGATCTTCATCGCTCTTCTCTGGATGCACAGGATCGATCGCTGAGTGTATAGCCGAAGAAGAAGAGATGGAGTTCGATTCAGAAATCAGCCGGCGGATATTAGCACAGAAGAAGTACATTAGCTACGGTGCTATGAGGAGGAACAGTGTGCCTTGTTCACGCCGTGGTGCGTCGTACTACAACTGCCAGCGTGGAGCTCAGGCGAATCCCTACAGCCGTGGATGCAGCACCATCACTAGGTGCAGGCGTTGAAGAAGATGAGTCACTTGAATTTCCTATTTTGCCCCTTTCTTTTGTGTCTGTCTTTTTTCAATCTTCATTTTTTTAATTATTTTTATATTCCGGGATATATGGGTTTGATTTACACATTTGAAAAACTACTACTATAGTCTTTGTTTTTTGGAAAAACAAAAAAAAAAAAACAAAATTTGCTTCTTCTTTTTTTTTTTTTTTGGTTGTTGTCTATATACATAAATAAATAATTCAAAGTTGCGTAGATTAAAAATAGTTATTCGTCCGAGAAGTGATTTTGAGATCTGTGCGTAGCTTTGTGGAGTATAACAATTGTTAATGAAAAGTGATTACCGTTAATTTAATTATGAATCTGAGGTGTTTGAGTAATAAATATTTGGAGCGTATTAATTAATTTTAGTAAAATGTATAGTAGACAGAAAGATCAATAAAAGCAGAATTGAATTGATCCTTTGTTAGCTGTTGGTGGCATGTTGGCTTATAAGGTAATGATGGGACCATCACAGCCTAACACGCCTAATTCGATACATTTTCTTCTTATATTAATTTATCAGCCTCGAAACTTCGTTTTGGCTGTAATTGATTTTTTTTCATATAATTAACATGCGTCGTTGGATATTTTTATAGACATTATTAAGGCTTTCAATAGACGAACTAGTAACCACATAAGTCATAACGAATGTACAATAATGAAAATGTGGCAAACAAGAAGAACAAGTCGGAGTAATATCAACAGAACCGTATAATTTGAAATGCAAAATATAAACGGAATGCGTCAGGAATCATAGTCACTAATGATTTATTTTTAAAAAACCCATTGGGGTTGTAATTATTATATATACTCGAATCTGTAAGATTTTCCCTCCATCAAGTTTGAAATTGTACAAGTTTCAAGTACTAACAATGGAATCGATAGCACAATCAGGCATAAGAAGTTTGAGTCATTTGATCGAGATTAATGTTGGAGTGCAGCTTTGTTTGGGTCACATGTTTTATTTAGTCTCTTCTGTCTTCTCCATTTCCTACTTTGCCGATGTGATACCACGTACTAACATGGGTATCTTAATACCTTTGTTCGATGTTTCTATTGGGCCTTTACTAGTAATATTGGGCCTTAATGATAGGTGACTTAGCATTTGTTTTTTTTTTGTTTGTGTTCATGTAATTTAAAGCAGTGGGCTTCAACTTTTTTTGGGCCCATAATAAATGAATTTTTTTTTCCCTTTTTGTTTATTGGTCTATTTTAAAATCATTAAACTAAGTAAGATTTTTTTATTTTTTTTTACTTTAAACCTGGGAGTATCTTCTAAAAAAACAGGACATCAGTACTTACAAAATTTTGGCCGCTTGTTGTTTTGTGTAGATTCGTACGCTCATCAATTCATTTTAGAAAAAGAAGATTTTCCTCTGAAGAATGGGTTGTACAATTTTGTTTTGATGCATCTTATTGTACATTTGTGGTGGTTTTTACTTTATAAGACCAAGAGGTCCTACACGATTGTGTAATTTAGAATCTAAAATAAACTCCTCCATTGACTACTAGTCTTCATCATTCGAACTAGAATCTGTTTTTCTAATACTTCTAGAATATTCGTGTATTTATAACTAATAATTAAAATACTTCCTTTTTAAGATATTTTCCTTTTCTTAGCGACATACATTTACTCAACCCATAAGTCGTCAACGGCCCAACGAATATGGATGGTTACGAGAAAGCCATACAAAGACGCGCTCCTAACCGACCCAATTAGAGAGAACACACGCGTATTAAGGGTTTCACACGTACCAAAAATCCATGTTATATAAAGAAACCTAGGTCACGTTAATTTCTCATCACCATTGCTTTGTTTTGTTCGTCAAAAAAATCAATTTTAAATTTCTTCTCTTCTTCTTCAAACGAATCGCCTTTTCGATAATCTCTTTGCATCGATTCGATCATGGCTACTCAAACGGATCTCGCTCAGCCCAAACTTGATATGGTAATTACGTTAATCTCAATCCCTTTTAACATCTAGTATCGATTTTTGAGATCTCTCTCTCTCTCTCTCTCTCTCTCTCTCTCTCTCTCTCTCTCTCTCTCTCTCTCTCTCTCTAATTTCTTATCGATTTTCGTCTCAAATCTTGATTTTACGTTTCGGTTATTAGAATTTTTGGTTCAATTTCGGTTTATGCTTATTCCTGAATCTGTAATTCAATTCTATCACCCTTGAGTTATGTTGTTTGTTGTACAGATCGTAGTGCATGTTAATGTTTTGCTTATCTAGAAGATTAGATAAAGGATTTTTGGGCTAATTGCATGTTTTAATTCTTGAACTTGTCAGACCAAGGAGGAGAAAGAGAGGTTGAAGTATTTGCAATTCGTGCAAGCTGCTGCTGTTGAAGCTCTGCTTCGCTTTGCTCTTATTTACGCTAAGGCAAAGGACAAGTCTGGTCCTTTGAAACCTGGTGTTGAATCTGTTGAAGGAGCTGTCAAGACTGTCGTTGGTCCTGTCTACGAGAAATACCACGACGTCCCTGTTGAGGTCCTTAAATACATGGACCAGAAGGTACAATTTTGTGATTTCCCTATCTTTGGATTTTTCTGAAATTGCCTTTTGTTTATATTCTTGATGAATAATGAATGAATCTACTACTATGTAACTCTGTAGAATGGTCTTTATATGTTAAATTCTTGTTTCGAGATACTCTTATGTAGAAGGTTTTGGTATGCGGGTCAATGTCATTATGTTCGTATAATTTGAATCCCTCCTTTTGAAGCTGACAAGTTCAATACTGTTTTGTTTTGTGTTGTTGCAGGTTGATATGTCTGTGACCGAGCTTGACCGTCGTGTCCCACCAGTTGTCAAGCAAGTGTCTGCCCAAGCCATCTCAGCTGCTCAGATAGCACCCATTGTGGCCCGTGCGTTGGCCTCTGAGGTGCGACGTGCTGGTGTTGTTGAAACCGCTTCTGGAATGGCTAAATCCGTCTACACCAAGTACGAACCTGCTGCTAAGGAGTTGTATGCAAACTATGAGCCGAAAGCAGAGCAGTGTGCCGTTTCAGCTTGGAAGAAGCTGAACCAGCTTCCTCTGTTCCCAAGGCTGGCTCAAGTTGCTGTACCAACAGCTGCTTTCTGCTCTGAGAAGTACAATGATACTGTGGTTAAGGCTGCAGAGAAAGGGTACAGAGTCACATCGTACATGCCATTGGTTCCAACAGAGAGGATCTCAAAAATCTTCGCTGAGGAGAAAGCTGAGACCGAGCCTTTGGAGTTCCATCCACTTGATTGATATGGGTGTTTTGTTAGTGTGATTTATGGTTTTGTTGGGATTAAGGTGAACCGGATCTTGGTTAGCGATTGATCTCTGGTTCTCGTTCTTTTGTTTTTTTTCATCATGAACTTTCGTTGTTTCGTTTAATAATCAAAAGTTGTATAATCTAAGTTTGGGATTATTGATTGTGTAAAACCCTTTTTGTTTGAGTTTTAATAACTTATGATGACAAAAGAAAAAAACCTTATTTTGATGGACAGCGTCACAGCGGTGAGAGAAGCAGACATGAGATTTGGTGTTTCAAGAAACTATGGGCCCATGTCGGATCCAAAACTTAATCCAGTTGCTATTATACACACAAGTCACCGCCGTTCACGTTAGCACTCCAAACCCTTGGCAACGTAAACCTCCCGACACTTCCTCTCTCTCTCTCTCTCTCTTCTCCACGATCTTCTCACTCTCCGGTGAAGTTTCCTCCGTCGGTTTTTCTAATTGAATAAAATCTGCACTAGTAATCTTTCGCGCGGCTCTTTTTTGTAAAATCACGATTCAGAATGGGAATTCAATTCGTCGACAAGGCAGATCTATGGAAGAGTGCACTGTTGTTGAATCTTAAGCTTCGTGATCGATTTAGAATCGCCGTCGACGACCACCGTGGTCGAGCTGCGGTTTTCTCACCGGATGGTTACTTCTCTTCCACTATCCACCGCTGGGTGACTCGGTTCCGGAACTTTCGCCGGGAGTCTCTCCCTTCTCCACCCGCTTTTTATCGCAGACGAGGTTTGAATCATCGCCTTTTATTGACTCTAATAGTGGATCTGTGTAATTGAGCTTTGTGATTTGAATTGTTTCTTTGAGAGATGGTTTGAGTCGTGTAGATTAGCTCGATGATGTTATTTATTTTAGATCACCTCTAGATTTGGCTTAGAAGGGTTTGCTTAATTGAGTTAGGATGATTCTGAGGGTTGTTTCCTGGTTATGTCTACCATGGTTTGTGGGAATTTTGATAGAGAAACGCTTTATTCTTGCAGTTTCTAAAGACTTAACGGCAGAAGAAGAGTCTGCTCTTTTCCGGATGCTTCAAGCTGTGGCTGTTCCCCTTATTGGAAATGCTTGTCATGTTTTCATGAATGGTTTTAACCGTGTTCAGGTTTGACATCTTAGATTTCTGCCTCTTTCTTATCTTTAGTCGTGTTCGCAGTTCTTATTGTGTTTACCTCCTTTTTAGGTGTATGGTTTAGAGAAATTGCATGATGCTTTACTCAACAGACCAAAGAACAAGCCTCTTGTAACGGTATACTTGACTTATGTTCTGAAATGTTGTATGTTTGTGGTTGGGTTTTTAGATGAACCTAATTGTATTCTTACCCATGAACTTCTAAAATTATCTTAAGGTGAGCAATCATGTTGCATCTGTGGATGATCCATTTGTCATTGCTTCGTTACTTCCGCCTAAACTTCTACTTGATGCCCGTAATTTGAGGTGGACGCTTTGTGCTACAGATAGATGCTTTAAAAACCCTGTAACTTCAGCTTTCTTTCGATCTGTCAAAGTTTTGCCAGTTTCTCGTGGTGAAGGAATTTATCAGCAGGTTACATAGCTTTCTTTTTGTTGTCTAAATGTTATTGAATTCTTCCTGCTATTACATCTAATTTAGATTTACTGATGGAAACAAGTCCTTGCATATTTCTCCAGGGAATGGACATTGCGATTTCGAAACTAAACAGCGGAGGGTGGGTTCACATCTTTCCAGAAGGCAGTCGCTCCCGGGATGGTGGAAAGACTATGGGCTCAGCGAAGAGGGGTATCGGAAGGTGAGTCATGTGTCTTTGAGTTCACTTCCCTTATATGAAGCACTTCACTATAATGCGGGCCTTATCATTTTATTATTCTATAACAACGAGCTTACAATTGTTTTATTGTAATTTACTCTGTTTTAGGTTGATTTTGGACGCAGATACTCTCCCTATGGTTGTTCCATTTGTGCATACTGGTATGCAGGATATAATGCCAGTTGGAGCTAGTGTTCCACGGATTGGCAAGACAGTGAGTATCTCTAAATCTCCAAATTTTTTCCTCGTTTGTGGGCTTCGGTCTCTTTATAGTTTGTTGCATCACGATTTATATAGTTTGATGCATCACGATCTCTGTTCGCCAAAAATCAGAAAATCAATAACAAACCATAAACTTTCAGATAAGTAGTTGCCTCGATCTAAAATAGTTTAGAATGTATTGCTTTGTTAGATTTGCAATCCCTGGATACTCATTTAAGACCCCTCGTAACTTTTTTGGCCTTGATTTTTAGTAATACTGAGGAGTGACTCGTATCTCGAATTAATGCTTTAAAAATTAATGGATCTGTCAATAATTGGGGGTTTCATATTTTGAGTACGTGCAAATGTATTGTCCATGAAAGGATATGGAGTGCAAATGCTATACAGTATGTAGTGCTACCAATCTGTCATTAGGCTATTACATTGCTTAATGTATTTGCGTTCTTTAATTATAAATTAACCTCAAAAATATTTTGCAGGTGACAGTGATCATTGGAGACCCTATTCATTTTAATGACATTCTCAGCACTGAAGGAGCCAAACACGTCTCAAGGAAACACTTGTATGACGCAGTTTCGTCCAGAATTGGGCAAAGACTGTATGATTTAAAAGTACAAGTCGATAGGGTATCTCTAGAACAACAATCTATGTTGTCACACGACGCCAATACATCCTCGGACCATGCTGCTGAGATCTTACACAGAGTCGATTGGGACTCATTTGGGATGGGAGCACAGTTCTCAGAAGAATCATCAGCCAGTAGTATTAAACAGATTGCCCAAACCGATGATGGCAATTTCAGATCTCCCAGAAGGAGAGTCTCATCCGAAGGAGGGGTCAGCTTGAAGATTAAGAAGTTCATGGACTCTACGGAGATGATGGGTTTCGCGGCTAGAGGGTTGTTAATGAACGAGTACAAGAGTTGGGGTGAATCTGCCAATGTTGGTCAAATCCGGCCTTTAAAGGCTTGGAGAGAGTATTTGGAAGTGAATCTTATGAACCGTGGATTACTAGAAGAAAACACTTGCTAGTTAAACTCGCGTTAGGAATATTAGTTTAGTAATGAGGCTTATGTCCCAAAACAAATGTCCATGTTTTTTTTTTTTTTGATAACCCAGTATCCAGACCACACAGTGATCTGATTAGCCAACTGGGCCTAAGCCCGCGTCACAGGGATTTTTAAGCCCCCACTTAGTCCATGTTTTTTTACTTGTCTAATTTAGATTTAGAATTTTTTTTTTAATTTCAATTACACAGGAACTTTTTTTTTTTTTTGGTAAGTCAATTACACAGGAACTTTAATAAACTCGTTGTTGTAAATTAGGTTTTAATAAAATCCCAGTTTTTGCTAAAGATATTGACCGTTCGTTGGTAAGAATGACCACGTGGCACTGTCCATCACAGCAAAACGACACCGTTGGATTCAATCATGATAAACGAACGGTCAGGATTTAATCGCGAAAAGTTTATCAGTGCAATGACGAATGTATCCCTTGAGGTTATCGACGGCGACAATTTCTCTCTCCGGCAAACTTTTATCATAGAGAGGTTAGAGGCAGCCATGGCGGATGAAGAAGACGAGTTACCGGAGACAGAACTAAGTTACGACCAGAGGAAGGAAATCGCAAAGTGGTTTCTCCTCAACGCTCCCGCCGGAGAAATCAATTACGTCGCTAAAGGTACATAGATGTATCATACATACATATTTACTCCCATGTATGAGAAGGCGAGATCGTTGATTCTCCGTATGCATTTTTGTTTTGAGCATGGTGCGTGATTAGACATTTTTGTTTCGATTTCTCTGTAAAATCTTTTGGATTTCTGGCAGATTTAAAGGCGGTTTTGAGCGATGAGGAAGTCTACAATGAAGCAGCCATGGAAGCATTTCCAGTGTACAACAAATCTCACATGATTTGCCTTGAAATGCCCAGTAGGGCTGGTGATGTGAGTTATCATCTTAATCTCAAACGAATTTTATCTTAAGGTTCTATTCTAGTTAGTTGGATTAGCTTTTCCGTGGAGATTAGTGGATCTTAGAAATAAGAGATTTTTAATTTTACTAGGAGTTCTTAAATTTTGTTGTTTGAGTTGAGAAATTTTGAGCTTTGAGTGTCTTGGTCGTGTGTCTTTTTCTTTGCTAGAGAGTTTTCATAAACTTGCTACTGATATCTACATTCACTACTGTTGATCAAATTGGCAATCAACATATGTCCTGCATCTCCTTTTCATGTTTTTTGAAGATGTTTTGGGGGATACCATTTAGTGTGTGTTTATTCCCTGCGAGATGTAGTAATACTGTTTTTTTGCATCTCAGGTGATTGTGTCATCTTACAGTGAAATTACTGAAAATGAGTACCTTGATCCAAGAACTGCCCAGGTTGCCATAGTTGATCATGTTAAACAGGTACACTATTTTATTGTAGTTGTTCTTCATTATGGTGTGTCATGAGCTGTGAATATAATTCAAGCTTACATCTCCTTTCTTTACCAGATTTGTACAAAGGTACGGCCTGCAAATGATGAAGAACTTCCGTCTTTGTATATTGAGGAGTACAGGTATGGATTTCACACCCAGCTGTAGGATTTAAGATCAGGTTCATGCATCACCATTCACTTCAGAATTCTCATATAGTTGTAGCTTAAGTTCTTATGGCAACAAAGGCAAACATTAGAAAAGCGCTTTCAGAAGTTTAGGAATAAAGGGCAATGAACCTGGTGAGATCTACATTACTTTTGTCTTACAGCTGAGAATGAAAAGGTTTTTTTTTTTGCTCATTACAGATATGCTCTTGATGCTGAAATCCAGAGATATGTTAGTGAATCTTATCCGAAAGGTATGTGTGCAGTTAATTGTGTGAAGGGGAAAGATACTGAGGGTCCAGGGTCCGACTTTGAGCTTGTTGTTATAATTACTGCCATGAGACTTAGTCCCCAGAACTTCTGGTGAGTACAAAATGACCTTTTACTTATTTTCTCCATTTCTATTGTTCAGAGAGAAAAATGTTTTTGTTTGACCAAAAACCGGGGTGTTTTGCAGTAATGGAAGTTGGAGATCTGTATGGAACATAGATTTCCAGGATGAATCCCAGGTGCTTGACATAAAAGGGAAATTGCAGGTAACATTCGCGACTTGTTTTCTCTGTAAGTTGACTGTGACGTTATTCTAAGCCAATTGAAGTTCAGTGAGCTTATTCTAAGTATATCACTTTCTCTTCAGGTAGGAGCTCATTATTTTGAAGAGGGAAATGTGGAATTAGATGCAAAAAAAGATTTCCAAGATTCAACAATATTTCAGGTACCTCCTCATCCGATATCCACATACTCGACAGTGCATTATATCTGCGAAATCGCGTACAATAATCTTACCAGAAGCCAAGCCAGGCTAGCATATAATATACACCAAGAGAAGAAATATGTGTAGGCTCTGATGTAACCTTGTCGTTGATTCTTCTTCCATTTACAGTCTGCGGATGACTGCGCGATGGCCATAGCCAATATTATCAGGCACCATGAAACAGAGTACCTTGCATCTCTAGAGGTTTTCAAATAGCAACTCATCACTTATCTCGTTATTTTTCCATTTCCTGTGTTGTTAATCTTGTTGTATCTGACCCAATCATTAGGTAGCTTATTCAAAATTACCGGATAACACTTTTAAGGTAATCGTCTCTTTTCAAATAACGATTTCAGTGGCTGCACGATGGGAACCTCGAGGTGTATTTATAAGTTTCTGAGCAGATATTTGGAATATTGCAGGATTTGAGGAGGAAACTGCCGGTGACACGAACTCTGTTCCCATGGCAGAACACTTTACAGTTCAGCCTGACAAGGGAGGTTGAGAAAGAACTTGGACTTGGCAAGTGACCAATCATCAACTCGCAACCTTGAGTTTTCTTTTCGTTGTCAAGTTTCTGTGATTTCCATTATGTAAGTGAAGGGAAAAGTATCATATTGATATTATTATTTTTGTTGTATCGTGTCTTGGCTTTTCCTTTGGCGTAATGCACAAACCGCATGTAAGTGTTGACAAAAAAATAGTTTATATGATCGATATTGTTTGGTTTCTTTGTTCTAAAAGCCGCATGAAAGAGTTCAAGTTGGGTTGGAAAAAAACCTCCGTTGCCGGGAATCGAACCCGGGCCTCCTGGGTGAAAGCCAGATATCCTAACCGCTGGACGACAACGGATTTGTTATTACAGTTAGTAAAACTGAAAATATGATTCTAAACCTGTAATTTGAAAGACAGGCCCATAGTGAAAGTTTAATGCCCCGAGTCGTTTGATTAAGAAAGAGGCGAACCGCCGAACCCACCACGTCGAAAGAGAAGAAGAGCAACAAACCCTAATTTCCATCATGCTGAGACCTCTGATTGTACAGGTAATGGAAACCGTTTATTACTGTGTTTTGGATCGATTAAAATTTTAAAATAAGTCATCATCCCCAAAATTTGCAGTATTATCGCCGAGGGAGGAAATCCCTTGGGTGTCGCCATTTCTCTTCCTCGCAATGTAACAAAAATGGTATATCTCTTTCTCAAATCTAATGGATATGTATTTATATGTCAAATATCCTCTCACGACGGATTTGAAGAAGAAAAAAAGAAATTTCACTTTTTGCAGATGTTGAATATGTGGAGCGAACTGTGATGGAGTATATTTTTAACTTAGGTTTCGGACTGGCTTACGGATTTGGTTCTGGTATGCTAGCTGTTTTTTGGTTCGTTTCCTGATGATTCTGACTTCAAAGATAACAAGTCATCTTTCAACACTCGTTTCCTTTCTCTCCTCAGGTGCTCTTCTCGTTCGCATTTTCAGTCACAGCAACTTTAGAGAAGCTAAGGAGATTGAAAGGGTAAATCAAACAATAATTATCTCGCCTCAAACTTAATGTTTATATATAATCTTAATATGGCCATCTTGTGTTTCAGGAGTGGGAGGCTAAGCAGCAGTACCTAGCTGAGATTGAAAGTATATTGGAATGGAAGCGAAAATACTATGGAATAACATCATCTGCCAAATGAACATCATCATCTGCATAGGATATATTTATGGTTGATCCAGTAAACCTTTTGGTTCACAACTCTTTAAGAAACATTTTGTATGCTGAAACTTTTGTTAACAATAACAGCTTTGCTGTTCAACCTCAGGTGTGAGAAATTATTTAGATATATGATCTGTGCAATTGCATTACGTATATGATTTCAAGAATTTTAGTGAAATGTTGCTAATGAAAGGACGAGCGACTTTGAAGCCCAACAGGACAGGCCCATCCGAGTCCTTAAGAAACCCTAATTTACGATTGGAGAGCCAAACACACAGCAGAGAAGAAATGTCGAAGCCGACTCTCGGTGTAATCGAGAATTTTTTGTTCGCATGAATTTTTGTTTGGCTATGTTTTTATGATTTCTATCTGTATCATCGAATTTTCGCAGAAACTTGGCCACCTCGAACAACATCGGCGCCCCTCTACTGGACCAGGACTAGCAGCTTTAGTTGGATATTTTGGCTACATTTTCTGGGGTAGTTTATCTACTATTTGGGTTTGATCGAAAAGTTTAACAAAGTTTGAAATTTTCGTTTTCTAAAAAAAAATACGAGTCTGTCAATGATCTAAAACCCTCTTTCTTTTTTTACCTCAGAATATACTATATCTAAACGAAACTTGAAGAGGAAGGACGAAATACACGACGAATTCATGCGCAGGGCGAAACTTGTTTATGATGGAAATGAAGAGGTCTTTTTACTTTTCAGATTTCAAAAGTTTTATATGCTTTGTTTAGGTCTCTGTAGTCTGGCTGTAGAGTTTGAGCATGAATTGTCCATAGAAGGTAAAATTTTCATGCATTGAAACATGCAGTGTAGAGATTAAACCCTACTTGTATCGTCACTTGGATGCTTGCAATGCCAACCCCTTTTGATTCACGTTTGTATGCATTATCATTCGCTGTTTGCCCTCATTTTAAGTTTCAGATACTCAAGCTGATGTCTGGAGCTGGAGCTAATGAAGCATCTCGCAGACAAGGATGAACTCAAACGTGTTCGGCAAGTTTGCTTCTGTAGGTTATAAGCTTGTTTATTGCTACTACTTTTCTGTTGTTGATTAGTGTTTCTTTTAGAAAAATGATTCCTCAGATTGAGATTTGAGCATATTTTTTTACTGCTCGAATATACGACAAGAATTTGTATAGGTTTTCTGATGTTTTAATTAATCGTATCCAAATAACTTCTTAAAAAGCTCTGATTTGGTTTATTCACCCTTCTGTTTGAAATTTGGGATCAGACTCATATTTCAAACAACATTATCAAATAAAATTGATTTAACACTAATATTAAATGCAACTAATGGGTCATGACTCATGAACGTACGTATAAGTTTATTGCACCGACAAGATGTTGAGGGTGCTGAGACATGGAGAATCAGTTCTAACGATCGATCAAGTTAACTTGAAATCGTCAATATCGAAAGACGGTACTATTTCCATTGACGCATTGTATGATTTCCTAGAAGATACTAGGATTAGGAAATTGGGTGCACTACTTGTAGAAATAGACCACCTAGGCTCTCGATTATGTAGTGGTTAAAATCGATAGAGTTTCTTACGATTAAGGCTAAAGGTTTTTTAGAAAGAGACTGTGAGAGAAATTAAAGGTTTTTAAGAATTGTATGTTTATTTGAAATTATAAAATTTTCGGTTGAAAATCAAGGAGTATACTTGATGTTGCATAAAACCGATTAGATAAAACTTGTAGGAAGGTTTATTTAAAAGAATTTTCTAATAAAGTTTCTAGAGTTATTCGGGAGGAAGTGGAACTGTGGAAGACTCTAATTCATTCAGAGGTTTTCCCGTGGAACTGTGGAAGACTCTAATTCATTCAGAGGTTTTCCCGTATGCATTTCTTTGAAGACAAGTTTTCCGAAGAAAAAAACTTTTTTTTTATTTATTTGTTTTTTTTGCTCTCCTCTTCTACCCTTTTTCTCATAGTCGCTCCTTTGAGAAACCCCTAACTCTTGCTCTTCTCTTCCCGGCGATCTCTCTCTCCGATTTGGGTATTGAAATGGCAACTCCTATGGTTGAAGATACGTCAAGCTTCGAAGAGGATCAGCTCGCTTCCATGTCCACCGAAGATATCACTAGAGCTACTCGTCTCCTCGATAACGAGATTCGAATTCTCAAGGTTCGCCCCCAATATCTCTCTCGATCTCCCTTATCTTATATAGTTATTCATGATTGTATCATAGGACTTAAGTTGGGTTCATCAATCGCTTTAATTCCAGTAAGGTCAGGCTCGAATCTGGTTTCAATTTTTCGCGATTACGGGTTTAGGGTTTGAAATTCCTGTAATCCGTGGAAGCAGGAGATGTACTAAACCTTTAATTTGATGTCCCTTCTTGTGATTTCTTGGTGTGTGTTACCTCAAAGTTTGGATTTTCTTAACACAACTGAGATTGATCGAATTATAAAGCTACTCCTTTTTGTTGCAAATTTGGATTTCTGATTCAATTTCCATCTGTAACCTTATTTGCGTTCTGTAATATGATGAATGTTGAAATTGCGGATCTTGTGTTTTTCTTTAATGGGGATTCAGGAAGACGCACAAAGAACAAATCTAGAATGTGATTCTTACAAGGAGAAGATTAAGGAGAATCAGGAGAAGATTAAACTCAACAAGCAGCTACCTTACTTGGTTGGCAACATTGTGGAGGTATTCTACAAGTTTTCTTATCTTTTTTTGGATTTGATTTATCTTTGGATCTGATTTTTGGTACTTTCCTACAGAGTTTTCTCCTATTGGAGATTGTTCGTTACTTTATGGCCTGTAAATTTTTTGTTCTTAATACCGTTTTTGTTCGATTTGAAGTCTAACTGTTGTGTTACCTTATTATTCTATTAGATTTTGGAGATGAATCCGGAAGATGATGCTGAGGAAGATGGTGCAAATATTGATCTTGACTCTCAACGGAAAGGAAAATGTGTTGTGTTGAAAACGTCTACACGGCAGGTGAGACTTCCTTCTCCATTCTCCAGATATGTTTTCTACATTATCTGGTTCTTTTTCTCGTTTCATGTCTGAACGAATCTTTTTGTTTCTTGATGTGGAGTGCAGACCATCTTTCTACCAGTGGTTGGACTCGTGGATCCTGATAGTTTGAAACCTGGTGACTTGGTTGGAGTTAATAAAGATAGCTACTTGATTTTGGATACCTTGCCATCCGAGTATGACTCTAGGGTTAAAGCCATGGAGGTCGATGAAAAACCAACTGAAGATTACAATGACATCGGAGGACTAGAGAAGCAGGTAAGTTTATCACATTGTGTTAAACTGGTGTATCGACTTTGCCTCAGCGTGCGTAGTGAATCTAATTGAGTTTATTTCTGGAACAGATCCAAGAGCTTGTAGAGGCAATTGTGCTTCCAATGACACACAAGGAACGTTTTGAGAAGCTGGGTGTTCGTCCACCAAAGGGAGTGCTCTTGTATGGTCCTCCAGGGACTGGTAAAACTTTAATGGCTCGTGCCTGCGCAGCACAGACCAATGCCACCTTCCTTAAATTGGCAGGCCCTCAATTAGTCCAGGTATATATGAGTGTCAGATTCAATTCTCATCTCCTTGAATTCTTTACCCTGTCTGGATATAAGATTTTAGTGGAGTCTTCTGACAACAATAAATACATGTGACAAGCTATAATGATACTTGGTTGTAATGACTTGATGACATATATCCATGTATATACAGATGTTCATTGGAGACGGAGCAAAGCTTGTCCGCGATGCCTTTCAACTTGCCAAAGAGAAAGCTCCGTGCATTATCTTCATAGATGAAATCGATGCCATCGGTACAAAGCGTTTCGACAGGTACAAATCTTTTTCTGATTCCAAATTCATGTATTTCTGCACTACTTCCTCAGCAATTTACTCAAATCATATTCTTTGGTTGAGAGTTCAGTGAAGTCAGTGGAGACAGGGAAGTGCAAAGAACTATGTTGGAGTTGCTCAATCAACTTGATGGATTCAGCAGCGATGAACGTATTAAGGTGAGAGTCTTTATCCATTCCATTCTACGTACTACTAATCATACTCATCTCTAAGTCCTCCCATAAAGAAAACCATACCTCTCAATTTTTCAGGTGATTGCAGCCACTAACCGTGCAGATATTCTGGATCCAGCACTCATGCGTTCTGGTCGGCTAGACAGAAAGATCGAGTTCCCACACCCAACCGAAGAAGCCAGAGCCAGAATCTTACAGGTTTGTTCTCCCAGTTTTTAAACATGTTCCTTGATAACTAAAACGTCACATAACACAACTAACCTAACTGAATGAATCCAGATTCACTCAAGGAAGATGAATGTCCACCCAGACGTCAACTTTGAGGAGCTTGCAAGATCAACAGATGATTTCAATGGAGCTCAGCTGAAAGCAGTGTGTGTAGAGGCAGGCATGTTAGCGCTTCGCCGTGATGCCACAGAGGTAAAACAGATACAAAAGTCTTAATGGAATAAGCTTTATGATTGTAGTTTTAGTCTGGTTTTTAAAGGTGGGGTTCTCTGTTGTTCAGGTGAACCATGAAGACTTCAATGAAGGTATTATCCAAGTCCAGGCCAAGAAGAAAGCAAGCTTGAACTACTACGCCTGATCTCTCTGTCATCATTTATATTTCTCAATGCCGTTTATCTTTCAACTAGTTTGACTTGTACCCTCATTCCGATTTGGATCTTTTAAAATTTTCGAATCTGGATAATCTATTATCAAAATACATTAATTGTGTTTATCTTTTTTTTTTTCCTAAAATATTGAATCTTAATAGCTACTGCTTATACCTTGCATGTTACATGGTTTATAGACCTTTTCTATTTTGAATATATGTTTTGTTAAGAAAAATCTCAAGAACATATTCCAATCAATTTCTATCTAAACTTTTAGTTTTTGGATATACTAATATTCACGAAATATATAATTCACGGGTAAATTTTCAAGCAATTTTTTCCACTAATCAGGCAGCCTTTTCCGTTATAACTTATAACCCACTTAAAGACTAAAAATTCCTTTCTGCTCAGTTTAAAGAAATTGCATAAAGTAACAAAAACTTCACTCAAAAATGGTAATATCTCTCAAGATTATTAACCCAAAAGACACGAGAAATCGTCAACTAACAAAAAGTAAAACCTCGAAAATAAAGAGAGGAAACACATTCAGCACTTGATCTCCTTCAAGCCGTAGGCTAAGTAGAGGAAAGTAGGATCAGCGGCTCCTTCTCTGTAGTAAGCAAACACTAAGCTCCCTTCTTCTCCTTCCATGCTCTCTCCCACAAAGCTGTCACATTTTTAAAAAGTAATCACCAATTATACAAAGTTTAACTTAAAAAGAAATTGAAGATAAAAAAGGTAAACGAGAAGAGCTTACAATTGGAAGTCTTTGAGCTTTGACATCAAGAACTTAGTGGCACTCTCAATGTGTTTCTTAAACAGCTCTTGCTTTTCCGAGTCCAACTTAGGGCTTAGTTGCTTTATGTATCTTTTCATGAACATCACAAATTGTTTCTTGTCAAACGATGGTTGCTCCTGCCAGAACATATATAAATACCCAAAAGTTAATCTCAAACTTATCTAAAATATTGTGTCTTGTGTTTCTTATGCTCAAAGAAAAGAAGATTAAAAAGGTCTTTGAATTCTACCTGAAGCCTAAACGTATCTATGATGTCAACAACCTTCACAGCTTGATCATCTACTCCTTCATCTTCACCGCCTTCTTCAGCCGATGGATTCGCACCAATATCAAAATCCATAGCTCCTTTCACAACCCACTGATGAACAAAAAACATAACAATACATCAGTTTAACTTCAACCAGCATTGATCTTTAATGAAAAAAATCGTTATTTAAGAATAGACGTACCTTTCCTTCAACTTCCCATAACATGCCGTTCTCGATTTCCTTGTAAGGAAAGGAATCAGAGAGAAGCTCATCGCCTGTTTGATCAAAAAGAAAGACAAACTTTAGCTTCTGACACAAGCAATACATACAAAATCAATATATGTTTTGTTTTTAGATAAATAAATACAAATCAATATGTTAAGTGACGATGATTGAGGTTGGACGATAACAAAACACAATTAAAATCCTAGAAAACGAAACGCTAAAGCAAATCATTAATACCAAATATCGTAATTTACGACATGAACCAGAACCATCTTGTTACATACCTGTAAGAATATCCTGGTAGACCAACATGTTTGAATAGAGCTAAAGAGAGATTTATGTCTTGTTTTCTTTCGCTGATTTGATCAGTAAACTTAGAGAGCAGTAGAGAATTTGATGAAAAGAAGAGAAAAGAGAAGAAGTCTATATATAGAGTTTATGGTGACATGGTGACTTGACATTTAACTAAGACGAGGAAGAGTCTTGTTTCCTTTTCTTGCTCGTCTTAAGTCTTTTTTCTCCTACTAGAAAAAGGAATATTTCCTTTGTTGAATCAGAGCCATTCCCTTATTTACGTGAATTAAATCTTGACCGTTAAATGAAATAAGCATTAAACTTATGGAAACAAACTTACGAGTAAATAAAAAAGTCCTCCTTAAATACATTTAACTTAGGAGTAAATAATAAAAGTACTCCATAAAACAGTATTGGTATAAAACCATCGTAAATACATTTAGCTTACTGTTTTACATGTCACAAATTTATTTCAACAACACGTTTTAAGTTTGTAACTCTACTCTAACCGGTCTTCTTGAGGTTCAGTTTTGTCAAAAATTATGGAATTTTTGTTTTCTTTCAGAATAGAATCAATAGATGTTAATGAAATCGACAAGAACCAACTTTTTGAAAACTATGTTCCATTCACCTAAATATAGTAACGGTTTCGGGTTAAACTCGTAAAGTAATTTCACTGTAGAAAGTAAAAGTAAAAGAGCGAAATTGGTAACTAGGAGGGGGAGCAGAGCTGCAAAAGTCGGCGCGAATAAACCACTTTAGGCATGTGGACGCAATAATTCGCTTGGGAACATCGTCACATTGGGCTAACTAAAACTTTGACTACTATTGACCTTCAAAACTTATTTTACTATTTACTCATATTGTAAAATTTCCATATAGTAGAAATTGTGAGGGAATTAATCGAATCTATGAGGACACAAAAAAGCTCTTAATATAATTTTTATTTTTGAGAACCCACAATATCTTTGCTAATATTCAAGTTGCTATTCTGCCTATGCATATATGATATATGAAAATCATATATTATAAATCTCATAAAACTTAACGTTCAACATATGTTTAATTATATTTAGTGAGATGTGAAAAAACCTAAAGATATTGTTGTAACAAAAAAATGTATAAGGGTTAAAATTGGTTTCCAGTTTCTAACATGTTTTAGTTCACATGTACTAGAAGATGAGATCCCATTAAATTCTTATTTTTCAAACAATTAGGAACAAAATTAATCGAATCAAATTGAAAACCAAAGTTAACATGACGAAAATTTGTATTACTGGCATTGTCATCATCTACGGTCAAATTACTCAAATCCGATTAATACAATAGATAACATAATAACATTATAATCGGAAATAAACTTGGAAAAGGACTAAATCTGTATTAGTTTGGTAGAAAAATGAAAAATATCTCTTTTTACAGAATAATCAAAACGAAATCAGAATGAAACCCAAAGTCATTTATTATGAGAGCCAAAAATAGAAAGCTAAAATACCAATAGTGGTTTAATTAAAATATTTGATATCCAAATAATTGGAAAAAGCTTTGGGGAAGCAAGCAGCTGATGGGGTAAAGTAGACAAATCCGTCAGAATAAATCTGAACCGTCCATTCTAGTCTTTGGACAGCGGTCATTTTCTTCTTCCCCGTAACCCAATCTTTCTCACACAAAACATAACGCTACCGAGAAAAAAACTCTATAAAATCAAAAGAGCGATTTTTTTTCCTGGGTCTCTCTCTCTGGTGGTGACGATCGAAGAGAGTTCACGGATTCATAGAAGGATTAAATAAATCATTCTGGTAATTTAATCGAATCCAATCGAAGCGTAAGGAATTCGGGAGAGTGATTTTTGGGTTCGAATTTTTGTGGTTGATTCATAAGAAAGCAAAAAAAAAAAAAAAGAAGGGTTTTGAGATTTGGGTTGTTTTGATTTCGATTTTGGTTATGGGTTTAGGTAATAAGGGTAACAAATTCAATTTCGGTGATAATGATCTCGCCGACGAAGGTAGTGCTGCCGATGGCGATTCTCGCGACGAAGGTGATGGTTTTGGTTCTGTTGCGTGTTCCATTTGTCTCGAGACGGTTGTTAAAAACGGCGATCGAGCTTGGGCTAATCTTCAATGTGACCATCAGTTCCATCTTGGTGAGTTTGCGGATTTTTTGAGACGATACTCTTTTCTTTTTTATTATTCGATTGTTTGAAAAAAAAGTAAAGAATTTGCTTAAGATTTTGATTTGAATCACCCAGATCTACCCCTCTTTGATTCGATTTGTGAACTACGAACCTGTTACATTCTGTTTTTTTTTGGCTACCATACCATTGTTTGTGTGATGTGGCTCTCATGATTTGGTTTTTGCGCTCTGAAACTAATGGCTTCATGCTTTATATAGTTTTGATCTGGTCGAATTATGTGAGGTTACGGATATAGCATCAATGATTGTTCGATCACTATTTCATTGCAACTCCCAAGTTTCTTAGATTGACCTCTCCACCTTTTTTGATGCATGTATTAGCTCATAATCTCAGAATGTTCGTGCCATTTGTGTTTCATTATTACATGCATTATGTTCTCTTGATTTGTATTTGCCTATAAGGGAATGCATTGCTCGCAAGTGCATATGAACCTTTTGACAATCTTGGATCTCTAGATATCAGTATCTGTGTGTTTGTATCTATAAGCCGATCAATTATTCCCTCAGATTAGGGATTATTCGTCATTATGCTTCATGTTTGGTTTCTTATGCTTTTCACAAAGCCATCTAACTTCACATCTGTTTTCTTTGTTCTTAAGATTGTATTGGTTCTGCTTTCAATGCAAAGGGAGTGATGCAATGCCCCAACTGTCGGAAAGTAGAAAAAGGCCAGTGGCTTTATGCAAATGGTTGCCGTACATATCCTGAATTCAGTGTTGAGGATTGGGTTCACGAAGAAGATATTTATGATATTGGAGCATACTCTGAATTGGTAAGAAACTCGTAACCCAATCCGTCTCAAATTTCTTTGCGCTTTTGCATTACTTTTCACTTCTTTGCCTCATATGCTGAGTTTAATTATTGAAATATCGCTGTTCATCTTATTTGATAGCTTCAATTATGTTCCATCTCGAAAATGCCTTGTGTTTATGTACATTTGCAGTCTTTTGGAGTTCACTGGTGCCCATTTGGAAGCTCAGCCCGTCTTCCTTCTTTCGAGTAAGCAACTACATAAGACCCATTTAAATCTCTTTTCTGCTACTTTTGGCAATCAAAACTGGCATTCTCTTCCTTCTTTGCTGATGAATCTCTTTCAAACTTTGTAGGGATGGAGAATTTTCGCCGGGTTCATGTAAGAACATTGTCAGATTGGTTATTTCATTTTTGTTCTCATTACCTACTTCTCACGGTTCTGAAATTTGGATTTGTGGTACAGATCACGATCTTTTGGGACAGCAAGGTTACTATACTGAACCAGCAGCGCCAACTGCAGGTCATCCATGTCCATATGTAACCTATTTTGGCCCGGTTCATTCGTCTTCCTCAAGCAGTGGTGGTGCTGCAGGCGTTTCAGACAGTTCTAGTTTCAGTAGTCACTGGAACACTGGCTCTTCGGTTTCTGGTGAAGTCCCAACTCCATATGGTTTCCCTGTGGATCCGCACTATCACGGCTGGGATTATCACCCGCCTCCACCCCCACCGCCACAGCATTTCTCTGCTTCTGGCCCTCATGTGGGTAGTCCTACTCAGCCCACACCTCCACCAGCTGCTGCGAGGACTTCTCGAACTAACGGTTCAGATGTGATCAGACCCAGACCGCCACATTTCACGCGTCCATTTCATGGTCACAGGTAAATATTTTCTGCCTTGGTTTAGGTATATCACTATTGAACATAAAATATGACCTTAATTACAAAGGTTTTGAGAATTTCTTCACAACATCTTATATTATATAGTGCTCACAGGATTCAAATTTTTGGTTTTGTACAAAGATCTCTCAAAATTGAATTACTGAAGTGTTATATATTTCTCTTTTTGCAATTGCTTGCACCGGTTCATAACAACACTCTTGAATTGTGGCAATAAATTAATTTTGCGGAATGGAATGGTGGAAAGAAATAAGAAAGATAAACTTGATATTCTGGAAAACTTGTGTTATGCCATATCTAGTTTGCATTTTAGTCATCAATCTTGCGGAATGGATTAATGTGCAAATAAACGTGATTGGAAAAAGCCTGTTATATCGTGATACCACAGGTTTACCAATAAGACCTTTCATTAACTATCATATTTTTTTTTGTTAAAACACATCTAATGGCTGGTTTCTGCAGTTCCAGTGGTAGAGCGGGTAGCTCGGTGGCATCTGTTCCGAGGACACCACCATTTCCAGGAAGCAACGCTCGGACCCGAGACAGAATGCAGGCTCTTCAAGCGTATTACCAACAGTCTTCTGCACAGTCACACCAGCCGGATTCGCCTATAGTCTCTCGAGGACCTGTATTCCCGTCTGGCCGGAGGCCCGCTAGAGGAATAGCTTCCGGGATGGGATCAACATCATCTTCTTCGGATCAGGCAGGCGGGAGTGGTTTTATCCGGTTTAACATATGGGAGAGAGATCCTTATATGCAATCACAACAAGCCTACTCGATTAATCAGATGGACAGAGAACCAAACATTTGGACATCTTCATTTAACGAAGGATCAGGAAGCTTCCATCAGAGGCACGGGGGCGGAGGAGGATCATCGTAAGAACTGAGTCAGTACCCGTCGAGATTCTCACCGGTCGGGCAATTCTCATGATGGACACAAATCAAAAAAAGAAAAAAAAAAAAAAACATTGGGAATTTGATATTTGAGAAAACCTGAAAACTGCATGCTCAAGTTATGTGATGAATTGATAATCTAAAAACACAAAATGGTATGTAATGGTTTGGAGAGAGACTGCCTCCCCCGCGTTGGTGGTGTGACTGTGCGGTTCGAGGTCTGGTTTGAATCGGGGGAGCGAAAGAGGTCGTTGGGTATTTGTTTTTTAATGTGGCGACAATGGGTATCAAAGTGATGAAGTACCCTAATGAAACTTTTTTCCTATCTGGTTTTGTTAAATTCTAAAATGTTGAGTTTTCTCCTTCTTATCCCAAATTTTGATGGTCTCTGTTTTGTTTTCCATACAAAATAAAAACCAAGGTCAAATTACCAAGACTATATTTGACAACAAAATCGAACATTCTAAGCCAACAATGAATCTTTCGATTCTGTCTCCATTTGTTGCGTAGAAAAATAATCATTGATAAAGTAGTTTTTATAATCAGACACCATCTGCGGCAATGTTAGAGAAAATGTCTGAAAGAGTAATAACACCAACCAAGAGTCAACACAAAAATAGTGGGCTCAAAACCAAGAAATGAAAACAGGCCCATAACAAGGAATACAAAAACAAAAGGTACAAGTTTCCTCGGACCTCACCGATGTTTCTCAACCTATAGTCGTTTATATATGACCGCGGCGAAAGGCTCTATTTTTTCTTTCAAGTTTTGATTTTTCTTTCGGGCCCTCCAAATTTTACCAAACAATGGCGGAATCAAAGACCAAATTTGAAGAGATCAGAAAATGGGTCTCCGATCACAAGCTTCGTACCGTCGGTAATTATCCTTCTTTCTTCTTCTCAACATTCCTTTTCTCTCTGAGTCGTTTTATCCTGTTGGTTATTGTGATCATGGATCTTAGATTTCGCCGGTCCCTTGTGGATATGTCATTTAGTAGAATTGATTAGCATGTTACGGTTTCTGTTCCTGTCTTGGATGTCCTCTTGATTCGACATTTTTGGTCCTCAATTCTTAATGTTCTGTGACATGCAAAGATAAAATAGAATGCATATCCATCTACTTTTGGTGTTTTGATATTTCTATATGCCAACTCTGAATCTGTATTGTTTTAATTTGACCGTTGCATAGGTTGTTTATGGCTCAGTGGTATTACCGGTTCTATCGCCTATAACTGGTCCCAACCTGCCATGAAAACCAGTGTCAAGATCATCCACGCCAGGTGAATTTTCCAATCTAAAGGATTTTTAAAACTTTTCCTTTTGTTTTTGTTTATTGATTTGATTGTAAAGTATTGAGTCTCTTTTGCATTTCGAAACATTTTCCTTAGACATTTAGTTAAGCCAATATAGAGCATCATCATCTCTATGTCTCAAAAGCATGTACATTTCTCTGTTCTTGCCTCGAAGCTATAGTTGTTATCGGGTAGCTGCACCCAGCTCAGATGTGAATCTCTATCTTGAAGAAGCATGACTTTTGGTTATGGTTCATGTATGAACCACGGATTTCCCAACTGACTCAATTAGCAAAGCATTAAAACCGATGTCTGTTCTTTATACTTTTTCACAGCATTTTTTTTGTCGTTCTTCCTACCGAACACATTTCTCACTGAGTTTCTTCTTAGGTTGCATGCTCAGGCGCTGACTTTAGCTGCTTTGGCTGGAGCAGCGGTTGTGGAGTATTACGACCACAAAACTGAAGCTACCAACCGCTATCCCAAATTTCTGCCGCCGGAAAATTTGTCTCACAAAGACTAAACTCTGAACCTCTAACCTGCAATGGTGGTTACTGCATTTTCTGTTTGGTACTACTACTACAGGATGCGTAGCTAGATAGAATTTTTTCAGCGAAATTTTCATGTATTGATAAAAACAAATTTGCTTATTATATCATTCTTTTCATACTTTCAAAGGATTGCTATGTGTTGTAATCTTAGTGTTGCAGATTGCACACAAAATACGGATTTCTAAGATAACGTACTGAAAACAAATCCATCATGATTAAATTGAACAACTAGCATATTGTATGTTGGTGGAATACAAGAATAAATCTCACTTATCTCACAAATTGTGGGAGCCAATGCAATTTATAAATAGTTGGGGTTATTTGGAGATTTGACAAAACTTTGGGGATCTTGGGGTTATTTATAAAAGTATAAATTAGGGTTGCAAGACCACTTTAAATGCGCAAAAACCCTAGCCCTTTGCTTTATTCTCCTCAGAGCAAAAAGACGCCGCTCGTCTCTTCAGAGAGTTTCACCTTCTAGGGTTTGTTCAAGGTACTCGCTGCGCTACTATCTCTCTTCCATGAAACGCTTTTCAATTTCTGATATAGATTCAATAGACTTGTCTAACGAGATGTGAAGATGGAATGAGAAGAAACGAATTTTCAGTTTCATTTCCTCTTGGTTTAGCTTCATTTTATTTCATCTATTTAGAGTGTAATTGACTATGTTAGATTGACATTCGAATCTAAGTAGTATCGATTGTCATCTGCGATACAGATCTCACTTACCATTTTCCAGGTTTTGAGTTAGTCATAGTAGTGTGAAGTTGGCGTATAATGTTTGTAGAACAGATAGGATTCTTTGTGTGTGCCTTTTACATTTGTCAATGATCTATAAACACATTCTTATGGATTGATTTTGGTTTTTACAGAGAAGGCTTGGAAAAATGAGTCGAGGAATTGCAGCTGTTGCCAAGGGAAAGAAGAAGGGAGTTTCCTTCACCATTGATTGTTCGAAACCTGTTGATGACAAGATCATGGAGATTGCTTCCCTTGAGAAGTTTCTTCAGGAGAGGATCAAGGTCGGTGGCAAAGCTGGTGCACTCGGTGATTCTGTCACAATCACCCGTGAGAAGAGCAAGATCACTGTTACTTCAGATGGCCAATTCTCCAAGAGGTATAACAAATGAACTTGTTGATCTTTGCTCGTCTAGTCTTAGGATACGATAGAAAGTGATTGTTGGAACTAAACTTATTTAACAGTGTCTAACACAAGCAGCAATGAGTATTGTTTGGTTGCTAAGCAATCTCAAGTGCAATGGTTTGTTTACTATTGTCTTTTATGTGTGTTTTCAGGTATTTGAAGTACTTGACAAAGAAGTACCTCAAGAAGCACAATGTGAGGGATTGGCTTAGAGTGATTGCAGCAAACAAGGACCGTAACCTCTATGAGTTGAGGTACTTCAACATTGCTGAGAACGAGGGAGAGGAGGAAGACTAAACCTCAGAAACCAGTTTGGTTTAGAACTATACTCTATTCCATGTTTCTGTTTTTTGGTTTCTACTCGGTACTCAATACAATTTGTCTTTGCCCTTTTTTTTGTCAGATGTTATTTAGTTTTGTTGAAGTTAACTCTCGTTGGTTATCTTACTTTAAGAGCCCATATGGATCTTTTTCAGATAATCGTTTTAAAAAGTTTGGTAATGATGAATTTAACTAATGTTGAGGATTAAAGAACTAATGTTGGAAATATTTTTTGGTAGATGTGCATATTTGTGGAGGTTTCTCGAATGTGAATCTAAGAATCTTTCTATTTAAAATATTTTTGCTGGATTATTTCGATAAGAATCTATTTTCCTTCACAAATTGGGAAAATTTGTTGTAAATATGTCCAACTTCGACACACATTAGGATTGTGATTTGTGAAGTTCGTATCTCTGCCTATATAAACAATTTCTAGAGAGTAACATTCCCTATGACCTTTTGGCATATATGGTGTCTTGTTATATAAGAAAGGAAGGAATGATAATGAACACTGAAGATACTCCTCCAACGCCCCAAGAAACGAAAGAGAAGTTAGTCTCAGACATTGAGAAACATCTCAATATCAACAGAATTAACTCTCTCCATAGATTCTGAAGTTAATCTCGCACACTTGAGAAACATCTTAAGGGGAAAGAGAGGCATAAAGGATGCAAATAATGTATAAACAGCACTAACTCTCCATAGGTTCTGAAGTTAATCTCGCACATTTGAGAAACATGTCAAGGGAAGAGTTAGGCATAGAGATTGCAAATAATGTATCAACAGAACTAACTGTCCTCAGAGATCCAGATATATGGGATATCAGGAAAACACTCACTAAGAGCGACGTCAGAGGTCAATCACGGCTTCTTAGACCTAAGGAATCCGTGAAAGAGCAAATTCTGAAATACTTGACAGAAGAAGAGATCAATTTAGTTGAAGACGAAGACAAGCATGGGTTAACAATCACCAATAACAAAACAAAGTAAAAGACATGTTATGTTTTGATTAGTTATCCACCAATAACTAACTGTCATCTTTAATTTATTTACTGTAATAAATGGGCATAAACCCTAAACAATGGTAAACGAAAAACCAGCCAAAAGTAAACCGAACCAAGATCCTGTTAGCTTGATTCTCTATCAGTTTCTCTAGTCCGAGACTGTTGTCTGAAGTGGCAAATAACTCTCGACTCCTTTAGCCTCAGTTTGCTGCTTCTCCGCAACAGCCTTTGATAACCCAAACATCTGAAAAAGCATAATAACTTACTATTAGCAAATTCACAAGTAGTGGCTCAGCGATCAAGATCTGATATTTTTTAGGAAATAATGAAGAAAATAAACCTTTTTTATGGTCTTGTTGAAACAATTCTTGTGATCATCCATGGAAGCACTCATGAATTCATCAATGTGATCCTTGACGTCTTCAAGGAAATTGGCATCATCCTTTGTCTTCTTTCGACATGGAGACATGGCCGGTTTTGGCGGGGTTTCAGCTTGAGTTTTCTGCGTCTATATTTATGCGCTTGTCCTAAAAAGAAACATGTAAGCTCTCTAGAATAAAGATAGAATCAAACGTAGACTTCAAAACCAATTAACACAAAAAGTAAAACAATGATTCAGAAAGACTAATAATTAGCTAAGAACCAATGAACTAGATAGGCTTTGATACTCAAGTGAAAGATAAGCTCTCTAAAAATATTCAGCTCATAAACACTTAACTGATAAACAACAACTTGAGAACACAAAACACATACATATATCCAAAGTCTATAATTTTCAGAGATTCTCAAAGTGAAAGATCCTAACCAACTATAGCAATTGGCTAATCAATGTCAACTTTCTCAGAGATTCTCCAATAATTTCTCCATTGAGCACACAACATTGGAATCATTGCTAGAAACTCTCCAATTTCCTTACTATATATCCTGAGAAATCCCGCCATCACATATAAATCGAAGGAACTAGAGATAAAATTAGCTCAAGAAACCCAGCAAAACACAGATGAAGTATGCGATCATATACAGTAATGGGGATCGAGACAAGACAACAAAAAAGAGTCCAAAAACGCAGAAATGAAGCAAGTTTACTCAGCAGAGACATAGACCCAGGTGGAGAAAATGAGATTCAAACAACGAAAGATCAGAGATTAAGAAACGGGAGAATCAGAAACTCACCGACGAAACTAGCGGCGGCGGCGGCGGCGGAAGAGAATTTGTTTGGCTTTGGGGATCCTCTGCTCGCTTAAAACGTTTGCAATTACTAAACTACTAAATTACCCCTAATGTTCTTCAAAACAGACAACCAGACAAAAGGTTGTTTACGGAAACAATTGCTTTCCTTAGATTTTGGGTTGGTATGCAGCTATTATTTGGTTCGTGAATTTCATAGACAGACCGAAAAATCTAGAAACCAAATAATTATACCGAAATTGAGCAGTAAACCGGATTGGAGCATCGTCTTGTGATTTAAACCAAAGTCTGTGCTACTACTATAAAAACTCGGCAAGAGACTAAGAGAGGGAGAATCAGTTTTAAGAAGAAGCAAAATTAAGCAATTCCGAAGAAGTTGGGGATTCTAAAACTTTCTTGAACTCGTAGAGATCATATTCAGAAAGATGGGAAGAAATTTAACGAAGTTGGTGTTTCTCGTTTTCTTGCTTCGTCTCTTGATCTCCTCTTCGTGCGGTCAGTATCAAATACTTGGGCTCTTCGTTTCAGTTTTCGCAAATGAGTTCCAAATTTTCACTTCAAGTTTCAATCTTTTCGAATCTTTTGGATCATCTTGATGCGCTCCGATACATGGAATCTTGAAATTGAGTTGTGCGATGAAGTTCTTTTCAAAAGTTTTGATCTTTCTTCCTCTCGGTTCCTTCTGATGCATAGAAGAACCTGTTTGAAATTGAGTTACGAGATGTTCTTCCTTGCGTTTGACAACTAGAAAGATCGAAATTATTGCAATGACACGACTTGTTCTCTCTGTTTCATGCGTTCAACTATCTTGAAAAGAATCAAACTTTACAAGAGAAGCTTCTACAATGTGTTGATGAAATTGAGCTTTGTATGCATTTCAGGTGAATCATTTAACTCAGATGAGACGAGAGTATGCATTTCTAAAGGAGGAAGATTTCTGCCATACGAAACTCCTATGCCTTCTTCTCTTGAATTTAAAGATCTTAACCTGTGTAACGTGTTCCATGGGAAGACTTGTTGCTCTGCTTCAACTATGCACTCTGCTTCATTAGCTCTCGAAAATCTGGCTACTTATGGAGAAGCTACTAAAGATTGCTTGGATTTGTTTGAGCTGTTGGAATGTTCAATCTATCAGCCAGATGTTGGGATTCAGTCAGAACCTCTTCGCATTTGTGCTTCGTTTTGCGACAGAGTCTTTGAAGCTTGCTCAGATGCTTACTTTCGTAGAAATGCCAGTAATCAGGTAAGAGCGGTACTGTTTGTGAATTCCTGAGGTAGAAAACTCTTGAGAATTCACAAGTTTGAGAGAGTGCTTGTTCTTGTTATGTGTCAGGTTATAGTCCCGTGTGGAGCAAGCGAAGGTACTATCATCTGCGGGAAAGCTTCTAAATGGGAGTCTAGTGGCACAGCTTTCTGCTATGCACTGGGTTTCACTGTTCAAACAGCTGGTGATCTTACAGAAGAGCCTTGTTACGGAAGCAAATCAAGTTTAGAGCCAGTGGTGGAATCATTCATAAAGACTGAGACTTTTGCGTGGTTTCAAGATCTTCAGAAACTGGTTAGAGAGATGACACTGGTTCAACAGATTTCTTGGGTAGTAACACTTTTTCTAATAGGAACAACGGTCTTTAACAGGTTTTGCATCTCTCTCTTTCTCTTTCCCTCTCATCCTTCAGTTTCTTTTTGACCGATTGATGCTTAAATCTTGCTTTGGAATTTCATAACTCAGGCGGCGTTATCAGCAAGAGATACAAGCTATGATTGAGAGGGATGCGAGAAGATTGATGGGGAACATGAATGGGAATGCCTAAAATAAGATGATCCCTTTTTGAGTTCTTTAGCATATAGCATTCAAACCTATAAAAAAGTTTTGTAAGAATATTGAGTCTGATATTTCATTGCTATATTTGGGTGTTAGACCTGGGGAGGATTGCAGACGCAACAATTAAAAATCAAACTGTTTTTACTGTGCAGATGATTCACAAAAGTAAGAGCCAAACCATAAGTCAATTCAATATGGCAAAGATTAAGAAATGTGGCAATTTGATGATACAAGGAAAGAAAAAAAAAAAGAGTAAAAGAGGAGATGCACTCTAAGTTAAACTACGGCGTAAAAAAAAAAAACCAAATAAAAGAAAACAGACCAAAAGGAGATGAAATCTAGAGAAGCAGAAAAGAGATGTTTCTGCAACTATACACAGAATGTTTGGATAACAACTTTTGTTTTCTCTCTCTTTTGTTTTTTCTACAGATGCTTCTTCTTTAATGACTAAGTAAAGTAGCCTTTGAGGTTCTCTTCTCCATTGCAGTTTGCCTACATCTGAAGAAATGCACAGAGCCTAGCTTGAGCTTGTGAAACCAAATCTCTCAAGGGAATAAGCTTTATTAAGTTTCAAGACTTCCCCATTTTCGGTACCTGATCAAAAAGAGAGAAACATTATGACGTGAAGTTGCCAAAAGAACAAAACATTTCATGACTCATCAAGTCCAAAAGGCTTGGCCCTGATGGATTCAGATTTTGGTTTTTCCGAGCTAACCAATTGTATTATCAAAAGAAGGACTACTTGGTCTTTTGAAAGTCTTTGGTGGAAACGAACCTTCTTGAGAGGATTGCTGCTAGAAGCTGGAGCCGGTTTCAGAATCTCAAAGGAGCAAACGAGAGATTGATCCACACTCAATAATGCACCGGCATTGTCAAACTCCCCACCATAGTTTGGAGCTGAAAATATCGTGACTAATCTCCGTTTTGCGAAAAACTCGTACCCATCTTCCACTACCTGCAAACTCAGTCCCTCGCAAGTCAGTATCTTGAGAGGTTCTCATAAAGGTATCTCAACTAATGTTGAGCATTTCTAAAGAACGCAAAATCGCAGAATCGGTTCTAAATTTGATCTCTAGGGAAAGTCTGTTTACCTGATGGCCTCGGCAAATGAGATCGAGATCATTCTTATCCAAAAAGTCAGCGACTACATCGGCTCCAAACGTGCAGGAGATACCTCGATCGCTATCAGTCCAACCTTCATTCTTTTGATCAGGATCAGACCAAAGTAGATCACAAAGAAGACCATTGTCTGGAATCTCCGTAGGCCTTTGGATCTCTCGAATCTGCCTCAAGTTTTCCAATTCCGGTGACAACCCACCATGCATACATAGAATCTTCTCGTCAATGAGAGCAGCTACCGGCAAACAGTTGAAGCAATCGGTGAATATCTTCCAAAGCCGTACATTGAATCTCCGTTTGCATTCGTCATAGAACCCGTAAATCCTGTTGATCTTAGCGTCTTCATGGTTTCCTCTCAAGAGAAATATCTTGGATGGGTACCGGATTTTGTAAGCCAAGAGTAAACATATTGTTTCGAGACTTTGCTTGCCTCTATCAACGTAATCACCGAGGAAGAGATAGTTAGCTGAAGGAGGATAGCCTCCGTATTCAAATAGCCTCAGAAGATCTTGGTACTGTCCATGGATATCACCTGATTAGAGATCAAAACGGAAACCATTAGTACCTCATAAAACAAAGCATCAACAGATTTAGAAACATAATGCAAAAAACTTAACATAAGTCCATCAAAATCAAAACTTTTTAGAGTTTCATATGCATAGGAAACCAAATTACCCAGATGCTTAGAATCTTCAAACACACGTTTCGACATTAAAGAAAGAGGAACTAGACCAACACAATTATGCCCCCAATTTCATCTTACATGCAAAATTAGTAATCTTTTTATCCCCAATCGTGCAATACGACTCAAACCCAAATCATCAAAACCAAAAAGCCACAAACATATTTTCAACATCATCATGACGAGAGAAAGAGGGAGAGAGACCACAGATGCGAATGGGGGCATGAAGCTCGAGAAGATTAGGCTGAGAAAGGAAGATTTGTCTGGCGTTAACGCAAAGTTGACGGATCTCGATCTCCGAAAGCTGAACCTGTTTCCCTCCTTTACCTTCCAACAATCTCCTAATAATATCATCCAACACACCCATCTCCATCATCCCTTCCATAGTCGTCATCACTCTTCCTCTGATCCCAACTTTTTTTCACCAATATCCAAAAGGGTTTGCGCCAAATCAGGCGAGAAACAATGGGTAAAGGATTAAATAACGAAACAATCAGAAATTCACAAACTTTGTAAGTTTTTTCCCTTGGATTTTCCCGAGAAAATGCGGGAAAGACAAAGGGGGGAGAAAGAAAAGAGAGGTCAAACAAAGGGGCAAGGAAAAACCAGAAGCAATCTTAAAAACTCAGAGGAGGAGGAAAGTGGATCAAATGGGTAAGATTAGAAAATAATAACAAATCCAAATTATAAATTTATTTATTTAAGAGAAACAGATGGTGCAGATAATAGCTCCTTCTCTTCTCTCTCTTTTCCTGCCAGAAATTTTTGGAAATTATATTATGATCAACTCTGTTTTAAAATGGCTGTTGATTACATCAAGAGAATGATGTCGGTCAAATAATGTAAATTAGGCATAATTAGGATTAGAAAATAGAACAAGTTGAGTTTTAACTATTGCACAAGTTTTATTTCCAAAAAAAAAAAAATTATAGGGTAATAAAAGGTTACAGAATTGATAATCATGAGATAACAAAGAATATGAAAAACTAATCTTATTTATTAGATTATTGTATTTACTATTTAGCAATTTCTGAAATTGTTTGGAATTGTAACAATAGCCTAGCTACTACAATAGTACATGATGTAAAAATGGATCCAATGAACTACCAAAAAAATGGTTGGAAGCAAAAATTACTGCAAATGATTTTGTATTGTCCAAAAGAACTAAAAACATGATTAAAAGGGAAGTTGTCAAATCTCAAAATAGAAAAACAAAAATAAAAAACGAACAAGAAGTGATTAGTGAAACCTTCGAAGGCAAGAATTATGGGTAGTGGACGGAGACGGACGGTGATGGAAGAAGATCCAGCCTAAAAGAAAGAGACGTGGATGATTCTTATTGGAACTGGTCAAAATAAATTAGTCTCCTTTTTGCACAAAAATTCCTTTACAGTATTTAAATAATTTATTCAGGTAAATTTGTTGTCGGGCGAGAAACCGCGTCTTTTGAAAAGTTCGTTTTTATGGTTATATATATGTAAGCTACTCCATTTGTACGTGTGAGGGTAATACTTGAATTCGTAAATGGGTTCCCATCACGTTATGTTCCACCATGATATAATTATTAATTATATAAACAACCAGTGATGATTAGTTACAAATATTGTTACCTCCTTTTTCTTTTTTGGCGACCAAAGATTTAACTTATTTGAACGTTAATTTGCTTATGATTCATAACACTTTTTTGTGACAATAATATGTCTAATAAATTATTATTGCGCGTAACTACCTATATATTAGTTTATAATTATATCATAACAAGTATACAACACCTAATGCATGTGGTTCATTCGTTTTCTAAGCAATATAAAGAGTTTTTTTTTTTTTCTATGAAGACCGGCATGCATAAATAATTAAGTTATTTATCTATATAACTAATCTTGCAATAGTCTAACATACTACAAAAGGTTTGTAAGAAACTCCATCAGATTGACATAATAGATTAGAGAAACTAGAAAGGCTTTCTTTCATGATGGTAAAAAAAACAGAAAAAGAAAAGAGGAAGAAAATAAATAGGCCTCCACATTTACAGAATTTAAGTATAAACTTAACTTTGGGCTTATATTTTAGGCCCATTCGTGAAGGAAGAAAATAAATAAGCCCATATAGCGGAGGAAGTAAGAAAACCCTAAAATAGAGTTGGTGGTATAAAAACCCTAGAATCAGTATTTTAGTATCCTCTTTATGTACAAGGTCGGCGGTTCCAGCACCACAACGCCGGACGACAATGGTAAATTCTCGCTTCCTCTGTCTCTCAATCTTCATTTCTCTCTGCCTCTCTTCTACAAGTTTTTACTGTTGTTAGTTTGATACTGAAGTTTAGAGATTTTGGGTGATTCCTATCATTTTTATAGTTGGATAGTGGATTTGGAATTTGGATTATATAATCTTGTGACATTTGATTTTGAGTCCCGGGTTTGAGTGTGAACAATCTATCTCTCTCTCTTCGTTTTTTTTTTTTGAGATTGAATGTTGCTTTCATGGTTGATTCTGAGATTGATTGGTCGTGTGTTTGCTTGCAGGGTATTGATCTGATCGCCGGAGGTAAGAGCAAGAAGACCAAAAGGACAGCTCCAAAGTCTGATGATGTCTACCTCAAGCTTACTGTCAAGGTCAGAAATTTAAACATTAATCTTGGTCTTTTTCCTTTTGTTCCAATTGACGAGGTTTTTTCTATTTGAGTGTCGAATTCACGAGATTTAAACTTTTGTTTGTGAAATTTTGCAGCTTTACCGGTTTCTGGTAAGGAGAACTCAGAGCAAGTTCAATGCTGTGATATTGAAGAGGCTTTTCATGAGCAAAGTCAACAAAGCTCCTCTTTCTCTATCTAGGCTTGTGGAGTTCATGACTGGCAAGGTTCCATTTCGCTGAAACCCTCTCGATCTGCTTTATCTTTTTGTTGAAATTAGACTTGGTCTTATGTCATGATAAATCGGTTACATTTCTTTATATCCAGTTTCCAATTTGTGTAAACGCAAGTTGTACTGTTAATCAACTTAGTCTGTAACATGGAGGTGTTCAGTGATTGATCCAGATTCTCTATGTTGTCTATGCTATGAGTTTTGAATGTGCTTCGTGTTCTGATTTTATAGGAAGATAAGATTGCTGTCTTGGTTGGAACTGTTACTGATGATTTGAGGGTACACGAGATTCCAGCAATGAAAGTGACTGCCCTGAGATTCACAGAGAGAGCAAGGGCTCGCATTGAGAAAGCTGGAGGTGAATGCTTAACCTTTGACCAGCTCGCTCTCAGAGCTCCATTGGGCCAGAACACGGTATTTCTCTTAACCAAACTGCTATTCTCAACTCTGTGATGATTAAATTACGTAAACTGATGGTTGTGTGTTCTTGTGATATAGGTTCTTCTTAGAGGACCTAAGAATTCACGTGAAGCAGTGAAGCATTTCGGACCTGCTCCTGGTGTGCCACACAGTCACTCCAAGCCATATGTGCGGGGCAAGGGAAGGAAGTTCGAGAAGGCCAGAGGAAGGAGGAAGAGTCGGGGATTCAAGGTTTAAGAAAGTTGTTGCTGCCATTGGACTTGATTTTGGAGTATTGTCGCTTCTTGGTTGCTTGTGTAATCGGGTTTTTGTTAGAGAACTCTGCTTTTTCTTTGCTTTTCAGACATGTTTCTAAGCTCGTTTTTACTGGATTCATCGTGTCGTTGTTACACTTTGAGCTTTACTATGTTAAACGTATTCATAATCTTTCGTTTATAGTCTCAGGCATCACAAGAAACCAAATTATTTGATAGGGTTTGCTACATCACCAAGAACTTTCTTTCTGTCATTGTTTTATAATTTCATTCGTTATTTCTGGTTCTTGGGTTGCATTTTTAATCTAACCACGGTATGTCTTAAATGTAAGAGGATAAACTGATCCAAATTTAGGATTTTCGAAGAGACAACATCCTTGCTGCATTGTCACTGATAGGACCAAAAACACTTTCCCCTAGACCAGACAACATCTCATCCCTTAGATCGTGGTTTTGTTGGAACTTAAATTTTGACTCATGGCTCTGGCAACTTTTCCGGTGATGTCTGAAAAAGTGTAGTTACATGTCAAAATCAAAAATAATTTGAATGAGAAATGAGTAGCCGCGAATGGTTTGTATTTATTCTTGTTTTTTGTTTCTTTTTCGGTAAGTTAGGAAAAAAAATTGATGTCTTTTGGAGAAATTTGTGTTATGTATATATATTAAATTCGAATCTTTTAGACTTACTAAATTAGTCAGACTGCAATCTAATCGGTTCTCCATCAGTCGCTACAAGATTCAGTGTGTTCATATACTCAATTAAGCTTCATAATGCCAGATCTTATTCATAATCTTGTCGAAACAACACATGCAAGAACCAACTTGTTTTGAGAGACAGCATAACAAAACCAAAAGAGAACTCTTTAACTAAAAGCTTTTGTTGTTGTCCTGAAGCTTGGTGAAGAAGTCATTGATGTGAGCAGTGACCTCTTGAGGTTTCTCTTGGTTAACGAAGTGACCAGCATCTTCAATCACCACTATCTCTTGAAGAGTTGGAACATCTGCTGAAAACCCACCACCGTGAATATACTCTTTCATCCCTGGTGTGGTGTAAACCATGTCGAAGTCACCGGTCATGAACTTCACTGGAACTTGAACCTTAGCTCCGGTCCATGGTGTAGTGAGCTCCCAATTTCTAATATATTAATCAATAACAAATTAACACAAATCCTAAAGTACGCATTCATATATTAAGAACTTACAGATCCATGGCTCTGTAGTAGTTCAATCCACCGGTAAATCCTGTCTTCTCGAATTTGGAGACGTAGAAATCAAGATCTTTCTTAGAAAACCATTCAGGCAATTCAATGTTTTCGCTATTAGGGTTAGGGTTTTCTCCAAAGGGATTATCCTTAGGTAAAATCGGCGGACCGAGTGACCTCCCTGTGAAGAGGTTCCTCAGAAATATTCTTGGATCTGCACTCGCAATCTCTGCTTCAGTCTTCCCCGGTTCCTGCAAATTCACATTGTTCAAACAGATTGAAACTCAATTGGACACAACCAAACAATGTCAATTGCATGGTTTCATTGAATTGGTTATAGATTACGGGTCGATGTTACTTTATTAGTAGTATAGACGGTTGATAAAAGAATAAAATAATGAAAGATCAAAATGTAAAACCTGAAATCTACAAATGTAGTAATCATCTCCAAACACAGCCTTAAACCCTTGAACTGGCTTGACTAAAGGGTTTCTTGATCTATACGGCACACTCAAACACACAAAGCCCTTAATCTTCTCAGGTCGAAACAAACAGAGGAACCATCCAATAATGGCTCCCCAATCATGACCGACCAGAAACACCTTCTCTTGATCTCCAGCAACACTGTCCAGAAGAGCTACGAGGTCCCCAACGACGTTAAGACACGTGTACTCGGAGAAAGACTCCGGTGAATCAGAGTCTCCGTAACCTCGGAGGTCTGGAGCTACAGCGCGGTAACCTAGAGATGATAACCCACAAATCTGGTGACGCCACGTGTACCAGAGATCTGGGAATCCATGGAGGAGAAGCACCACAGGTCCTTCTTTGGGACCTTTCTCGGCAATGTGCATTGTTATGCCATTGACACTCACCATTCTATGATCAATTCCTTCCATTTCTCTGTTTTTTTTTCTTTTTTGTTGGATATATGAATGTCTTTTTATTTTGTAAGATGTTTGATGGAGTCAATTTGGTAGTGATATAAATAGAGAATCCAAAGGGAAATTACTTCTGTTTGCCTGGACAGAGGAAATTCTTACCTATCTTTTTAGATGGCATGAATTAATACTAGTTTTAAATGGTAACATAAGTTGGTGGAAAATTGACGGAAAACCAGCTAAAAAAATAATAAATCAAACACAGTATTTAAAAGACAATAATAACGCTGCTTTTATTTATTTTGCAAAACTAAATAAAAAGATGGATGTATATGTATAATGTTGAGCTTCTCAAAAGAAGAGTCTTTCCCAATTGGTGAAGACGAGTAACCATTTGGAGGTGAAAGGAAGTAAATGCAGACTAGTGAGTAGTTGCTATTGTGTGCATGCATATATGCATTGGGAAGCTACCTTTCTTTTACTGCCTCAATTTTTATGATAACAAACAATACACTACTACTATAGTATACATCTAGATCTTTCAGATAATTAAATTTTATTAGAGTTAAAAAGAAAATAGGGAATCCAAATAAAATTTTGGTTCATTGACTTCTTTCTGATCAACTTGTTCTAAGAAATTTAAAACTTAAAAGCAACGGATTTGGAAGTACATATGCAAAGGGTAAAAGAATCTCTAACTTTTCCAATGGACATATAGTCATATAGAATAAGATGAGAGGGTGGAGCTGAAGTGAATGCAGAGAAGTAAATGAGGTTAGTTGTAACTACTTTCTTTTACTACCTTTCACTATTTCTGCTTCTTCTTCTTTTTTTTCAGGTAAGCATGGCTTTATTTTCTATTAATGTGTCTACTTTCTTTTACTTCCTTTCACTATTTCTGCTTCTTCTTCTTTTTTTTCAGGTAAGCATGGCTTTATTTTCTATTAATGTGTATTTGTAACTACTTTCTTTTACTTCCTTTCACTATTTCTGCTTCTTCTTCTTTTTTTCAGGTAAGCATGGCTTTATTTTCTATTAATGTGTATTCGTAACTACTTTCTTTTACTTCCTTTCACTATTTCTGCTTCTTCTTCTTTTTTTCAGGTAAGCATGGCTTTATTTTCTATTAATGTGTATTATAACCTTCCAACTTTTTCTTTTCATAAGCTTGTCCCCATTCAAAAATATATTGAGGGTTGTGTGATAACTGGATATACGAATATTAATTTCGTATTGGAAATTGTTAGTAGATGACACATGAAATTCATTGGAACAGCTCGCGCATAGCAATGAACTAATCTCTACATAATGAGTTTACAAGATGCACTAGTTAATTATAAATAGATTTATAAACAACATTTTTAATATACTGCAATATTAAACATGAGTTTACAAATCTAAAACATTAATCCCAACAATTTGGAAGACCAATAATCCTGAAGTCCTCAAGGTTGTGCAATTTTTGTTTTCTTTCAGGTTTTCTTGAATTAGAGTAAGAAAAAAAACACATTATATGGCATCTTAATCAATTTTTTAGGTAGACATTGAAACCATCGAAACAGAGCTCTCCGTTGAAGCCACCTTGATTGAACTTTCCGGGGAAGCAGTCTCCGTTGAAGCCACCTTAATTGAACTTTCTGGGGAAGCCGTCTCCGTTGAAGCCACCTTAATCGAACTTTCTGGGGAAGCCGTTTCCGATGAAGCTATCTTAATCGAACTTTCCGGAGCAAGTGAACTTTCCGGGGAAGCTGCTGGAGCAATCGAGTCAGCGCCACTTGTATCCGTGAAGGTGGAGAAACCTGGAGCAGCTGAGCCGCTCGGGGTGGTGGTCGCAGCGGCCGGGTTCCCAGCCAAAAGGCCTGGAGTGTACGGAACACCTTTGCCTGGAACCCAAGTATCACCTTGGATGTACTGAGCCGGTGTGAACTTGAGGATATCTTCGTCGCTCAGTGTCTTGATTCCAGCCCATGTAACCCGGTTTGCAAGGGCGGATCCCGGTCCGGTGTTTTGGACCTCAGAGTAAAATAATGTCTTGAGGCCGAAATCACCGAGCCATGGTTGCCATCCTTGTGGCTGAACAAAATCTGGGATGAAAGTGTTCATGATGATAGTCCTTGAATATTCCTTCCATGGCCTACCAAGATAGGCTTTGCTGGTTTCCTTGACTGCCAAGTAATCTGGTTCACCGGCAATGGTGCATCCTTGGAACACAAATCCGGTAACTTCCCTTGGGTCTTTACGACCGTGGGCTGTGATCGGGCATGCTTGGTTAGGGAGTGGCTTCCTCACCAACAAAGTACAGTTTTGGAATACAGCAGCTGCATCTCCAAAAAGGAAATCAATTGTGCCTGAAATGGTACAATCACGGAAGAACTGACGGTGGGAGTGAGTGTAGAGCGTGTCTTGGTAGCCATCGAATCTACAATTGAAAAATATCGACTCATCCGATTGAACTCTAAGCGCAACCGCTTGATGTTTTATTGCCCCAGCGGTGTTTTCAAACCCGATGTTCTTGGCAATGAAGTAGTTTCCAACAATGGCTGCATAAAAATTTAGGGAACATTTTACATATATGACTTCTAAAACTTTGTAAGCTAACGAGAAAAAAATCGTCAAAATATATATCGTACCGACAGTGGCGGTACGGTAGGTGGTGATACCATCCTTGTAATTCTTATTTCCGGAAATGATGGTTTTGTCGGGACCATCACCGATGAACACAAGATGCGTCATGCTCTTGTTCACCTGAACATACTCCTTGTATAGTCCAGCCTTAATGTGAACCACGAAAGTTGTGTTCTTCTTCTTGGGGACAAACTGCAACGCTTCATTGATCGTCGTGTATTGACCGCTCCCGTCCTGGGCAACCACAATATCAGGCTTCACATCGGAATATGCGGCAGCAGCTTGCAGGAGTTTACGCCCACGCTGGTCTAACCACGAAGGGAATCCTTCGGCCAAAAGTCGGCGGCTGTTCAGCCCTGGAATCTGCATTTGGCCAACAAAATTCGACATTTCGCTGATGATCGCTAGCCCGTTGTGGGTCAACTCGATTGCGGTCTTCAACGCTTTTTTCATTGTCTCTCCTGCATTCCCTTGCGTTCCTTGAAACCCTTCAAGACAAGTCTCCTCGTGGCTGATTGCCGCGCTGAGCCAAATCCTCAGATTGATCAGAGCTTCGTCGAGCAAGTGGAACTCAAATTTTCCAAGCTCCTCGAAAGAGTTACTTAGCTCACCCAACGCGTAATCCATAAGCTCCTTGCACTGATCAAGCGCCATCCTTGTCCTTGGATCCTTCTGAAGCTCCATCATCGTCTGCGACTTCTTAGCTGCGTCCGTGATCTGCTTCATCGTAACACTAAACGCAGTCTTAACCAACTCCATCGGGTCGGTTGTGTTCTTCCCGTTCTTAATCAGAGTGTCTTCACAAGTCTTTCTGTAATCAGTTGGTGCACAAACATCCTTCACGGCCTTGACGGAAGCTGTTATCTCTCCTTTACCTTCGGAGTCACCGTCATTCTTATTGAGGCTGACACCAACGGTAACCGCGACTACCATCGAGATCAGAAGAACAGAGGAGATGGTGATAACAACATACCTCCTCTTCCTCTTGGCTTCATCGTCGTATCCGTACGACATAATTGTTTGTGTTTTTCGTTACAATGATTAATATTTGTTTTGTCTTCTCTAAATCAAATTGTTGTTGAACTTGAACAGCTCTGAAGAATTATTGTAAAAAATATTAGAGCTGTTCGTTGTTCTTTTGAGAAAATGAAAATGTGAGTTTTATGGACTCCTCCGTCGAAGGTTACGTAGCCTCCTTAGGAGTGTGTATTTTTTTCATAATTGTTGAGATAGCTTATTTATAACGGTTATGACAAATTAAGAGTTCGTTATTTTGGTTGCTCTGTATTCTAAGGCTTGGCGGGAAATCCGGCTAGTGAGAAACTGTTGAAAAGACAAAAAATAGGCTTGTGGTTTTGTTCTCTTCTCTGTTTCCTTATGAGTTTCTAAATAGGGAAAATAATTAATCTTATTTTAGGGATTCAATAACTCATTTTTTGTTTGTTTGTTCTTTTCTCCACCGGATTAATCAGTGTCTTATTCGTGTTTTATAACTACTAATTGACATACCATACGGTACAGTTGTGAATATATATGTAGAGGTTTCCCCATTACTTATCAAAGGCATTTTCTCGATGTTAAAATTCTAGAATAAATCAGTGTGCGAATTTATAAAAAAAATAAGGAGATTATGATTGAAACAAACTATGGTCTTAAAATAAAAGAAATTCAAAAAAAACAAAAAAAAAACATTTGTATACACTGGAAATATTATCCGTTTTCACCGCACTGAATAATTGTATTTGATTCTTGACGAATCTTGACAAATAGTATATACGACTTAACTAGTCAATTTGGAAGAAGTATATTTAGTTTTATGCAATACTTACCATTAAACTCTAGATTTTCTTTCTAGTTTTGATCGGAAACACATTCATATAGATCACAGAGGTAGAGACATAAACACACACAAAGTTTAATATAGTTTATCTTTTTGGAGATTACATCAAGCCACCGGCATATGGAACTCCCATGTTCGGCAACCAGCTATCTCCGACTATAAAGTTAGAAACGGTGAACCAAACAGCTTCAGTTTTGTTGATCACATGATAACCTGGCCAGTTAACCCGATTAACTGTTTCTGAACCTGGTCCAGTATTTTTGAACTCCGCATAATACAATGTCTGCAAAGCGAAATCACCCATCCATTCAATCCATCCTTTACTATCAATAAACCCATCCAAGAAATTTTGCAAATAAACCGTCCTTGAGTACTCCTTCCATGGCCGGCCTAAATACGTCTTAACAGAGAAACTACTTGAAACCAATTCAGCACTAGGTGTAATTCTACAATTCTGTATTGAAATCCCGGTATTCTGGTTTGGATCACTCCTGCCTTGAGCTGTTATGGCATTGAATTGTCCCTGAAGTGGTAACCTCGGAATGAGGTTGCAGTTCTGAAGAACCGTGGCCGCATTCCCAAATATGAAATCTACAGTGCCATATATATCGCATTCTCTGTAGAACTGCCTAAGTGAGTGGACATAAAGCGTATCTTGGTAACCCTCGAAGCTACATTTGTAAAATGCTGACATGTCTGCACTGTTGCGGACAGCAACAGCTTGGTGTTTGTTAGGCCCAGCCGTGTTTCTCAGGGTTATGTTCGCCGCGATGAAGCCTTTTCCCATAACAGCTGGATCCAAATAAATCAAAATCAATCCATCTTTATATTGAATAGTTAGTATTTTGCCTATAAACGATCATAACCTATTCTTAAACAATGTATCGTGATGGATTTTTGTGACGTGACATCCAAGGTTTCGATTGTCTTATATATATAATGCAGACGATAGTTTAACAAATGTAAACATAAATACAAACGCAAAACGGGAATACACTATCAAAGCCTAAATGACTTACCGAGTGTAGCAGAAGCGAAAGTCGTGGAGCCATCAATGACGTTTCTATTTCCTGTAATGATTGTTTTGTCAATGCCGTCACCAACTATCATTACGTACGATTTGTTGCTTGGGACTGTGACGTACTCTTCGTAAACTCCGGCGACAACGTAAATCACGAAGTATCCGTTGCCAGATTCTACCATTGTCGGCGCAGCAGCCACCGCGTCATTTATGGTTTTAAATGCATCAGCATTTCCACCATTAGGGTTAACGACCACCGTTTTGGTCACCTTAAGGCCACCATTGCCGACGGGAGAAGACTGTAAAATTTTAGAATGGTTGAAATTATGTTGCAAAATTTTAGACTGTAAAATTAACAACCCACCGTTTTGTATAAGTTACATGTGAATTATAGAATTACATTATATGAATCGTATGATATAAATTTCAACCAAATTAGTGCATATCTGTGCTTTTTTTTTATTAGCTATTTATATGTATTTAGATCTAAAGAACTTGTAGCGATCATAATTTAAGAAAAATTAATAGAAAAGAACCTGAAGAAGCTTTCGTCCAACAACCATAACTTTCTCGTAGACCATTCTCTCACCTTCAGTCACCTTCAAATACGAAATTTCCGGTAAAGACAACTTTTTCCCCTCCGTCAGAATCCTCGGCGGTGGCTTTGTCGCCGAAGCATCAGATGTGATCGGCCAAGCCTCCTTGGACAATGCAAGAGAGACGCTAGTCAGCTTTATACCCTCCGAAACCCTCCGAAGGATGTCCTCGTGGCCGTTAACAACATTCTCTGAAGATTTTCGGGCGACCTCATGAACCGAGTCTAGGCATGTCTCGTAGTTCGTAAGGGCGGCGCTAAGCAGCGTGAGCAGATCGTTGACCTCAGAGTTTCCGAGAATATTCTCCTTGATGGCGTTCACACGTGTTAGGTGGTCAACGGTCAGGCCGGTGAGTAATTGGCAATCGTTAAGAGGTCCTGAGGTGGGATGATGTTGGTCGAAGGAGGCGAGAAGATCTTTAGAAGCTTCTAGAGACTTTAGGATGACAATGCGGGCAAACCCGGGAACCGTACCAGGTGATCCGACGGGTAAGACAGATTTACAGACGGATGGGTAAAGTGTGGAGTCACATAGAGCTTCAGATGAAGTTAGGGTTTGACAATGAGAAAGAGTGGAGAATAGAAGGAAAGAGATTGCCGTGAAGAGGATACTATTTTTAGCCATGGCTTTGTAATGATCTCTAATTACTAAATAGGGTTGATGTTTACAAGTTTACTTCAAGATGCTTGTATGTGTATTTATACATGATCTAACCTTGGCTTTTCGTTTAAAATATATTTTTTCTGGTAACAGTTTCCCATTTATTTATGAAAATGTAAATATATATTATCTATCAAACTGAAAACTTAAATAGAACCTACTCCTAGAGTGCTCTGCAAGTGATGGTATTTTAAAACGTGCAAACAACAAATGATAATTCATGATAATTCATGATATCCAAAGATATGGACAACATATATATATATATTTTTTTTCATCTGACAACATATATATGACACTCAATTTTCTATTTCTTTTTTCCAACTGTAGGACGTAACGTTTGACACAAAAAAAAAAAAAAAAAACTAAGGTTTGAATTAATTTTTGAAAATGACAAATACATTTATGTACGTGGATACTGGAAACTCGTGATTAAATATTTCGTTTGAGTTAGTGGCAGACCATATATCACAGTTCTTCATCCGTCCGATTCAAATCAGCTCAAAATATTCAAACAAGATATACAGATAAAATGACAGCAAAGTTTTGGAAATATTTTCGACCACTGCGAAATTATTGAATGAAATTTGAATTGGATACGAATAAAATTAAATGCTTTACATAAATGTATAATCAGGAATTTATACTTTATTTTTTTTGGTATCAATGTTAAGTGAGATACATGGAATTAATAACATAAATCTAAAATAATAGTAAAAGAAATTTGAATTAGTTAGCTAGTAGACCAGCGGTGAATGTGATACCTGTTGCCGGAAGCCATCTCCGACCGTCAATGAACGATCCGACGGTGAATGACAATGCAGTCCGTTTGTCCATGATATGATAACCAGGCCATTTAACCCGACCCGTTGATCGCCAACCCGGCCCAATGTTATTGTATTCTCCATACCACAAAGTGTCCAAAGCAAAGTTGCCAAACCATTCAAGCCATCCTCTGGGTTGGACCAGCTGGCTCATGTAAGTGTTCATGTAAACCGTTCTTGAGTAAAGTTTCCATGGCCGGCCAAGATAAGTAGGTTGTGTAGCCAACACGTAACTGTTCTGGATTACGAACCCTGTATTTTGATTACGGCTTTTTCTTCCTTGCGCGGTTATCGTTACCTTCTGGAGCGGTAACGGAACCCGTGTGTAGATTTTACAATTCTGTAGAACCGCAGCGCCATTTCCGAATATGAAATCAATGGTACCATAAATTTCACAATCTCTATAGAACTGACGGAGGGAATGGGCGTAAAGAGTGTCTTGATAACCTTCCACGCTACATCGATAGAAGGCGGATTGGTCGGAATCAACCCTCAATGCGACAGCTTGACGGTTTTGCGGCCCAGCCGTGTTTCTGAATGTTATGTCCTTTGCTATGAATCCTCTTCCGGAAACAGCTGATCAAAAAAAAATTAAGGGTTAATCATGTTAACTAGATATAAGTAACAAAAGTATATTAAATAAGTAGTTACTTGCAACATAAGAAAGGGATAACTTATAAGAAAGGGATAACTTATAAGAAAAGACTGTAAAAGGCTTGAAAGTTTGTAGATTCCAGAAAGCCAAAGCATATATATTTCCTGATTTTCAGACACAACAGTAAATAAAAATTGACCAAAACAAAAAGGTAATGAAAAGATTAGTCAATCAATTAAGTAACTGATTAGATATTGAATTAGTAGATAACTATAGCACAAGAAAAGAATGATTTATAAGAAGAAAAACTATATATAAAGCATGAAAGCCTGCGGATTGCAGAAAGCATATATGCTTTCTAATTTTCAGACACACTAATATAAAAAGTTTGACAAAAACCAAAAAGGAAGAAAAGTACAAAAAGGTTGATCAATCAATTAATTAACTAATGATTTAATTAACTAAAATATCAATACTAACCGACGGTTGCGGTTCGGAATGTGGTAAGACCCTGCATGAAATTCCGGTCACCGGTAATAATAGTCTGTCCGATACCGTCACCAACAAGCATAATGTTCGTCTTCTTCTTCTTCAAATCAATATTTTCTTTATACACACCTTTCTTCACATATATGACATATCGCTTTGTGCTATGATTAGGAGCCTCGTTGATGGCCTCATTGATCGTCTGATACTTCCCTTTTCCATCTATCGCCACAACCGTGTTTGGGTGCATCGCACTGGGGTCATGATGCATCATGAGGCTCTCATCGGTCTCCGTGAGCCAGTCAGGGCTTGCGGTGAAGCTCTCATTCCTAGATGCCTTGAAAGGCAAGGCATTAAGCTGCGTATACATGTCTAAGACGTTGCTCACAAGCTGAGTGACTTGTCTTAAGCTACCTTTGATCAATTCCTCGTACTTTCTCTCTGTTCCTTCAAACCCTTCTAGACACGTGTCTTGGTTACTCATAGCCGCGCTGAGCCAGGTTTTAAGATTGCCTCCTGCAGCAGCAGCGTCGTGAGAGCCACCATCTATTCCTCCTCCTCCGTGGAGTTTGTTCATCTCCAGCATCGACCATGCTAGCTCCGTTACCGAGAAGCCTACAAGCTCTTTGCAATCCTCTATGGCAACTTGCTCACGCGAACGGATAGATAACGTCGATACCGTTGGGATTCCTTCCATTGCTAACTTCGCTTTGTCATGTGCTTCCTTTACTGCAGCGCTTAAAACCGAATGCGGAGTTAATCCGTGACCCGATTCCTTGATGTGCGTCCGGATGTTAGAGACGCACAACTCGTGAGCATCAATAAATTGGCACGCTTTCGCGACAAGAGACCGAAACTTTTCTTCTATGTACGGTTTGAAAACTGTGGTTTCATACGAGTAAGTGTGAACAAACATAAGCATAGCTAAGAGAAGAGCGGTGAGAAATCCGGTGATGCCCATTTTTGTTTCGAGTTTCGGGTTTAGGTTAACAAAAGAAAAAGAACCGAGAAAAGAGTGTGAAGCCATATATAGAAAAAACCTAGGGAGGTTTAGGTATTGATTGTTAGTGAAGAAATGTTCTTTGCCTCTTTGGGAACTGTAGGAACAAATTCATAGTTTACTTTTTTACCTTCTTTTGTTACTCTCTTCTCAAGCCAAAGTTATTCTTTCTTCATTACCCAAAACCAAAAGCTCTCTTTTATTTGCTCTCTAGACTTTAGATTCTGCTTCTAGCTCCTAGCCTCCAACTAGCTTTCACCGGTACAGTTATTATCTGATTACACCCGGTTGATATGAAAACCGACGCAACCTCAAGTAAACCGATAGAATGACGGTTTATTACGTTCTAGTTAACCACCGTATTTTGTTAACCCATTGGTTTATCAAGTGAATAAATAAACCGGGATTTTCCGGTTTGCACAGCTTCGTTTCTTCCCTCCCATTTGTCATCTTATCTTCTGCAATTACTGGTAAAGTGAGCAATCCGTTAATCCCTAGAGAAACTGTAATCGTCTCGTTGATTCGGAGAAATTTTTCTGGTTCCGCGGAAAATGTCACTAACCCAGATCGTGAATCCTATCATATATCCATCTCGCACAATTCCACGGCGTTTCACGGCGATTTCACCTTTTCAAACCCTAAACCCCCAATTTTCCCGCCACCCACCTCACGCACTGTCTCGGAGACTCTTCCTTCCTTCTGTTTCCTCGATATGGGATGCCATAACCGGTGGTGGAGACTCGAACCCCCGTGAGGCCATTGCAGCGGTTCGACGCGGAATGCAGCTCTTCAGACAGGTAAAATTGGAAAATTCCGACAAACAGAACTGTTCTAACAAAAGAGACTCTTTTCATTATTCTGGACTCTTGAATCTGACCATGCTATTCGAGATGCTTTTGGTTAAAGGGTGATGTTGCTGGATCGGTGGCAGAGTTCGATAGAGCAATCGTTTTGGATCCCAGGCAAAAGGCATGTACGTTTTATCATAATACGATTTCTCTGTAAAGCTTTGAAATTTGAATCAAATCTTTACTCTTTTTGTTTGATGCGAACACAAACATTTGTTTTGATGACAGATCTTTGGCAACGCGGGCTTTCTCTTTACTATGTAGATAGGTACTAGCTCCTACTCACTGTCTCTTGTTAGGATTTGAGTTTCTTCTTGCAATACGGTGAATCAGCTGTCAAAAAGTTTAAAAATTGCTTCTTTCTATTGTGGATTTTGCTCTCCGTAGATCGTATGAAGTAATGAAATTATCCAACAGGTTTGAAGAAGGTGCAGAGCAGTTCCGGATAGATGTTGCTCAGAACCCAAATGATACAGAGGAGTCCATTTGGTGCTTTATCTGCGAGGCTCGGCTCCACGGTGTTGATGTTGCACGAAAACAGTTTCTCGAGGTTTGTTTTTCCTTACCCTAAAGCTTATCATTCCATGATCAGTAACAAAAGCAGAATATGAGATCTTAGGAAGAATTATTTGTAGGTTGGTAGAGATTCTCGGCCTGTGATGCGGGAAGCTTATAACCTATTCAAGAATGGTGGTGATCCTGAAAAGGTTTTGAGACATGTTTCTTGTTCATTGATATCATGATTTTCTTCCATCAAACTATCTTAATATTCTGATTTTGAAAAAAACAGTTAGTTAATGACTTCTTGAGCGGTCAAGCAAGCGAATACTTCTACGCTTCGCTGTACGCAGGGCTCTACTATGAAGCTGAGGTAAGCTCTTGATCTTGAACTTCTCCAACACAATCTTCATTGTTCTTCAAGAACAAACAATCCTGAGTAATCTTGTTTAAGTTTCCTCTTTGATTCTCGTTGTAGGGTAAATCAGAAAACGCAAAGTTTCATATAACCGCGGCTAGTGGATCTCCATATGGGCAGAGGTTTGAACCCTTATAGCATAATGTTAGCAATTATAAAGTGATTCGATGGTCTAGTCACTAGTGTTTCTGATACTTTTTCATCCCAAATTTATTTCAGGTCTGACGATTATATGGCTTCACTTGCTAAAGTTCACTGCCTTAGTAGAAACTGGAGCTCAGGTATTGTTTGAACCTGTTCATGGTTTTGTGGAGCCAAACATTCTTAGTTTTTAAGGCCCAATTTGTGATATATCAGCCCAATTAAAAGTTGGACCTCGGTCTGTGATTTCTGAAGTTTAATTTATGGGACCTGAAAAAAGAAAGGAAATTACTCAATTAGTAAGCTCTTAGAGAATGTTTGGTCTTTTACTATTATCCCTCCTTGTAAGGTACATAGATGATAGAATAGAACTATAGATGTTTGGAATGAATTTTAATTTAGCGGTTTACTTTTCTGGTATAATACACATAAAAATCTAGTTGCCTTAAAATTCTAGTTTAGCTTAGTTCGAAATAAAATCCTTTTTTTATCGTTTGGTATTACTGCATCTCAAATAAAAGTCAAAATAATTGAAGTTTCAGTCCCGGATTTGGTTGAGTAGTTTTTACTTTTTAAGTAACTGAGAACGAAACTATTACTTGCAGTGGCATATAGGTGACATAGTGCCGTTTTTACGTATTTTTTTTCTCCAATTAAATTATAGCGTATACGCATCAACATACTGTAGTTACTAAACTAATCTCTCTATACAACTTATATACTACCTTTCCACAAAACTCGGAATAACAAATTTTGGATCTCGTAAAAGTGATAGTTCATCTACGCAAACAGAATTAAATAAACTAAATTTCATAATTAAACTATAGTTCATCTGGTGCACAAAAAAAAAACTATAGTTCATCTAATTAAACAGAATTAATAGTATATAAGGTATTTTGGACTGTACTTTATATGAAGGTTAAAATAATATCTGTAAATCGTTGAAAGAACGTCATATACTAGTATTTTTTTTTGTTATGATTAACTTAAGGGATGAACAAAAGTGGAGACGGAGACACAAACCAGTTTTGTCTAATCACACATGTTATATGAATTAAATAAGTGTGTTTTGGGAATATTCTGATCTGGCAAAGCACCAAAAAATTGGGATATTCTTGTCGTCTGATGGCTTGCATGGCATATACTTCGCACATCAGCAACTCTTCCATCGCGGCAAAAGACCAAATTGTCTCTCCATACTAAATCAACGGAACCTGAAATTACCAGCGAATATATACGCCTTGTTATTTATTAATGAAAGATATCCATTTCTTAAATCTATTTTTTTTGTAAACCCATATTATACGAAAAAGACATCAAGAGTTCATTTTTTAATCACTTTTTTTGTAAACCGATAAACGGAAAAGAGTTATTTTTAACAAGGCAAAGTCTCAGTCAGGGTACTATCGTCATTTGGCTACTTTAGTCTGAGACCGTGAAATAAAACCAGAGCTCTTGTCCAACTTGGAGACGATTAACCAAGTTGCATATACACGGTAAGGTAGACGGGAGTTAACATATACTCTCAATCTCAAACCTACACGTGGCAATATTCATACGTGTCATCATCTCGCAACTCAAGCCGGTCATTCGTTAAAACCTAACGTGACGAAACCACTCCCCTTGCCGTTGAATATACTATTTGCCAGACTGATTTAAACCTTAAATAGTTAAATTCCAAATAAAATCCAAAACCTATATACACACATATATATATATATATATATAACGTCGATCAATTGATTAGAGGAATCTCGAGTATTTCTGACATGCAATCGTGAACGGCGAGTTTCGACGACGGTTAGGGGAGTATTAATCGATGTCGACGGATAAATTGCTACTTCCTAACGGCGTTAAGTCAGACGGAGTCATGAGAAGGACCAGACCTGATGCTGCGGCGGCGGCGGCCGCTTCTTATTCTCTCGGCGGTGGAAGTCAAATATTTGACGAGCTCCCCAAGGCTGCGATCGTCTCGGTCTCGAGACCCGACACCACCGATTTTAGTCCCTTGCTTCTTTCTTACACCTTGGAGCTTCAGTATAAACAGGTATGAACAGGCTTATTATAGTTTACAATATCTGACTTGTAGTTTTAGAAGAACTTAATTTCCTCTGTTACATTGTGATTAGGGTTCTGATTTTATGCCCCAAATTGACCATCGTCTCTCTTTGATTTTTTTTCCCCCTTCTGTCTAGAAAGATTTGATATTAGTGACAGAGAAATCACATAGAGAGATTCAATTTCTTGCTAAAGAAGTTTATTCATGGATATATGCAATTTCATGGTTTTTGATCTGTCCTGTATTAATTAGTAACAACAAAGACCTTTTTTTAATAGGCATCCTCTGTTTTTGGTGTATGTTTAGTTCAAGTGGACATTACAGAAGAAGGCTTCTCAAGTTCTTTACTTACATTTTGCGTTGAAGAAACGTTTGATCATTGAAGACCTTCACGACAAGCAAGAACAGGTCAGAATTTTCAGGGTTTTCAGATTTGCTAACACACGCCAAACAAATCATTATTGAACTCGAGAAATGCGGTTTTCGACAGGTTAGAGAGTGGCTACACAGCTTGGGGATTTTTGATATGCAAGGATCAGTTGTGCAAGATGATGAAGAACCTGACGATGGCGCTCTTCCTCTGCACTATACTGAAGATAGTATCAAAAACAGGTGCTTGCTTTTCAAAGCCATAAACCTTTTCGGTTTTGTGGATTCGAGTAAAAAGTGTTGTTTAAATTTCTGAAACAGTAGCTTTTTATGTTGTGCAGGAATGTTCCTTCGCGTGCAGCGTTCCCAATCATTCGTCCAACTATAGGCCGGTCAGAGACAGTTGTAGACCGTGGGAGAACTGCAATGCAAGGCTACTTGAGTCTCTTTCTAGGGAACTTGGACATTGTAAACTCTAAAGAGGTTTGAGATTTTTCGCTGGCGATGACTATGACTTTTCTAGTTGTGATTTTTATGTTGCTTGCGTCACACTTAAAACGTATCCACAGGTCTGCAAGTTCCTTGAAGTTTCTAGACTCTCGTTTGCTAGAGAGTACGGTTCCAAGATGAAAGAAGGATTTGTCACAGTGAAGCACCTGAGGGAAGTCCCGGGTTCTGATAGTGTCCGATGCTGTCTTCCTTCACATTGTTTCGGCTTCTTTGGAACTAGCTGGACAAAGGTTTGGACAAAATCAACTCGGGGTTTTTGTAAAGTTTCTGATTTTTTCTTGCTCAGATGAATGATTTTCTGCATTTATGAATGTTTCCAGGTATGGGCGGTTCTGAAACCGGGATTCTTGGCGTTACTAGAAGATCCATTCAGCGGAAAGCTTCTAGATATAATGGTGTTTGACACATTGGGGTTACAGAGTACGAAAGAGTCTTCTGAGCAACTGCGTTTGGCTGAACAGGTGAAGGAACAAAACCCATTGCGTTTTGGCTTTAAAATTACTAGTGGGGACCGAACCGTGACGCTGAGAACAACGAGCAGCAGGAAAGTTAAAGAGTGGGTTAAGGCCGTGGACGAAGCTGGTTGTTACAGTCCACATCGGTTTGGTTCGTTTGCACCACCTAGAGGCTTGACATCGGACGGAAGCCAGGCGCAGTGGTTCGTAGACGGTCACACTGCGTTCGAAGCCATCGCATTTGCAATTCAAAACGCAACATCAGAGGTTCCATTTCTTTACCCCAACTTGCATTTGAGAATCGTACTTAATATCTTAGTTTTGAATCTAAAATGTCATCTACAGATATTTATGACTGGTTGGTGGTTATGCCCGGAGCTATATCTCAAACGCCCCTTTGAAGATCATCCGTCATTGCGGCTCGATGCGTTGCTGGAGACAAAAGCAAAACAGGGCGTTAAGGTATGCCTAATAAGCTTACATTTAAGGATTCGATTTGTTTTGTTATATAAGCAAGAATTAAAAATTTAAACTTGTTGCAGATTTATATTCTTTTGTATAAGGAAGTCCAAATCGCGCTGAAAATCAACAGTATGTACAGCAAGAAACGGCTTCAAAACATTCACAAGAACGTCAAAGTTCTTCGTTATCCAGACCATCTCTCCTCCGGCATATACCTCTGGTACAGTATTAATCGAAATGCAGGGATTTACTTAACTACTTAACTAGAACTAAAGTTGGATTCTGTGGGGTTTTCAGGTCGCACCACGATAAGATAGTGATTGTTGATTACCAAGTTTGCTTCATTGGAGGATTAGATCTCTGTTTTGGCCGCTACGATACAGCTGAACACAAGATCGGAGATTTCCCTCCTTATATATGGCCAGGAAAGGATTATTACAATCCTAGGTAAGATCCTGAACTTGTTTATTATATTTTCTAGCAAAAGAAATCTATCTTTCTTACGAATTGCTTCTATTGTCAGAGAATCTGAACCAAACTCATGGGAAGAAACGATGAAAGATGAGCTAGACAGGAGAAAGTACCCGAGAATGCCGTGGCACGAAGTCCACTGTGCTCTATGGGGACCGCCTTGTCGCGATGTGGCTAGACATTTTGTCCAGAGGTGGAACCACTCTAAGGTAATGGAAATGTAGAGAGATTTCAGTTTCTAGCGTTTACGTTTGGAATATCATGGTTCTGATATATTTTAGTCTTCGTTAAATTAGAGAAACAAGGCACCTAATGAACAGACGATTCCGTTGCTGATGCCTCACCACCATATGGTTCTTCCTCACTACTTGGGAACTAGAGAGATCGATATTATCGCAGCGGCTAAACCCGAGGAAGATCCTGACAAACCTGTTGTTCTTGCCAGACAAGACTCTTTCTCTTCTGCCTCGCCGCCACAGGACATCCCTTTGCTTCTCCCACAAGAAACCGATGCAGATTTCACCAGCAGAGGAGATCTGAAGTTCGACAGCGGTTCAAGACAAGATCTTGATCGATCCGGCAGTCAAGTTGAGTTTCCTGGGGAAACTTCAGAGGAAAGCGACCGGGACGAGGCTGTGAACGACTGGTGGTGGCAGATTGGGAAGCAAAGTGATTGCCGGTGTCAAATAATCAGAAGTGTTAGCCAATGGTCTGCTGGGACGAGCCAGTCTGAAGATAGCATTCATAGAGCTTATTGTTCGCTTATCCAGAACGCTGAACATTTTATCTACATAGAGGTATAAATTAATCATTCAAACATTTTCATACAAAATCTCTTGACCTCAGATTGATTCTTTATCCTAATCACTTAATCTTGTTGTTTACCAGAACCAATTCTTCATCTCCGGGCTAGAAAAAGATGACACGATTCTTAACCGCGTTCTTGAAACGTTATACAGACGCATTCTGAAGGCTCATGAACAGAACAAGTGCTTCCGCGTTGTGATCGTTATTCCGCTTCTCCCTGGATTTCAGGTACTGTTTGCTTCTTCCAATCGCAATAAAAAATTGTTAACAGAGTAA